TGGACAGAGTAACTGAAAGAAGGGAATAAAAGAGACTGAGGAGTGGCGGCAAGAGAAAAAAGAGTTGAGCAAACAGCATTGGCGGAAAATTGGGAGAGTTAAGAGTTTTTTCTGGCAATGGATTTGGTGTGAAGCAGACAGTAAGAAAGATAAAATAAGGAAAAAGGACCTTCTTTATTTTGAGGAAGATTAGCCCTGAGCTAACATCTGCTGCCAATCCTCCTGTTTTTGCTGAGAAAGACTGGCCCTGAGCTAACATCCGTGCCCATCTTCCACTATTCTATATGTGGGACGCCTGCCACAGCATGGCATGCCAAGCGGTGCCATGTCCGTACCCGGGATCCAAACCGGCAAACCCCAGGCTGCCAAAGCAGAACGTGCACATTTAACCGCTGTGCCACGGGGCCGGCCCCGGGAAAAAGGACCTTAAGGAAATCCTTCTCACTATTAAGAACTTCCTCCCTCTTTTGACGTTTTTCTTTAGAGATTACCATAAAATATCTTAATTTCTTTCAACTAATTGTATATGTAGTTGTTTTTGTTTCTAATTTTTATTTTTTGCTTCTCTGTTGTTCAATGCAAATCTGTGCTCAGAATAAAACTCAACATGATTCAACATCATTTTGATTACATCGGAAAGATTAGACTTCAGATTCAAACAGACCCTAAATCAAATTTCTACTCCTTCACTTACCAGCTAAGTTATTTTTTTAAACCACCACCAATTATTAACCACTATGTACCTATTCTAAATGATGTTGCTTAATTTAGCTTGTGATCAAGATATTGCTTCTAGTCAACTGGTTTATCTCCTGTAATCTGGTTAAGTGACAGCTGTGATCACCAGTTTATCCAGATTGACAACAAAATAACTAAATGCAGTTAATTGCTTCATTAAACCCCTTATGTGGTTGCACATATTAAAAAGGATCTCTATAACTGTCTATTATTGTATACAATAAATGTCAGCTTCTATTGTCATAGTTTTTATTATATCTTGCACTCTGGTAAACCAAGTGGCAGATATTATTATTAAGTCAATGATCTGAAAAATAGAAAAGTGAAGTTGAGACATCTCAGGAGGAGAGTTCACATTAAGAAGGTGCTTTCCAGCCTAGACTGCAAAATACCACAATGGCTGAGGTTTCTGTCTGTCTTGTCCATTGATGTTTTCTCAGAGCTTTGCAAGTAATAAGTGCTCAATGAGTACAATATTTGATACATAAAAATTATATTCCAATTACCAGTTGCATTTATGGTACACATGGCCTTATTAAGGCGTCCAGGGTCAGGATAGAGGTGGAAGACCTACCCATCAAAAAATTAAGGGCTTGGAACAGTTGGAAAATAAATTATTCTTGCTGGAAGATATTATAAGTAATCTACTCACTCATTTTACAAATATCCTTTGAGCACTTTCTATGTTCAGATTCTATAATAGATGTTGTGGGGAATAAATAGAGTATATGAGACATGAACTGTACTCTCAAGGATCTTCAGCGCAATAGAGAAAATACTTGTATACCAATAATTTCTATACAAGGCTGGACGTGAAAGGGGCACGTATAACAGAAACAAAATTTGTACAGGAGTTCAGAGAAAGGGGAGATCACATTAGACCATGGATTGGCTAACTATGGCCCATGAGCCAAATTCATCCTGCAGTCCATTTTTTAATGATCCGTGAGCTAAGGATAATTTTTACATTTTGATAAAACAAATAATACAGAGACTAATTTCTCTATGTCCCTTTACATAAAAAGTTCATGGACACCTGTTCCAGAGGAACGAACAAAGGCAGCTTCACAGAAGGCACACTTGATCTAGGCCTTTAACTGAGGGGCAGAGATGGGATGGGGGAAGGGCACTTGGAATGGAGGGAATGATTTGAGTAAAAGCCAGAGGCAGTGGACTTCAGCGCACATCTGGAGAATAATGGGAACAAATTCCATTTGGTAGGACTATGAGGTTTATGAAGGGAGAAGTGGAGATGAGTCTGGACGGGTCGTCTGTGGTGGGTGGGCTAAGGAAGTTGACTATGCAGTAATTGAGGACGTCACAGTTGCCAGAAAGAATTTCATAAAGTTTTTCATTAGAGTCCCTTCAGGGACTCTAATGCCGAGAACAAAGATGATTTTTCATGGTAGAGCACTACAGTAATGTGATTTTTATGACTACTAGCCAAGGAGGAATCCCATGCTTCATTCTGGCCACCGAATAACTCACAACGGCAATTCTCTTAACACTAGCCTAGGTCAAAGTGAAACTCCCAGATGGGTGCTTAAAGACACCTTGCTTTATTAGTTCTCGTCTCCTCCACCATCTAGCTCCCTGAAAATGTGATTTAAAACAGGACTTCCGGCAGACCCTCCAGTGTAGCTTTGTTTCACATGACACTATGTTATTAATGCATGACACTATATTATTAATAATATTCACCAACAAGTCTCAGACCCACTATTTCACCCTCATTTAGTGGCAATCTCCAGCAATCAAATAATTGTGCTTGTCTGTCTAGCCCGGGCACAAGATGCACTTACACATACAGTTCTGTTGGTCACTTCCATTTGCTGACAGCTCAGCAGGAAAGTCTCAATTTATTCAATGCTTAAAGCTGCTGCATTCAAGTGGAACCCTGGCTATGGAAGGGGGAAAAAGGACTGAGAAAGGCAATGGGAAAGACATGCAAAGAGGGAGTGGAATGGAGGGCTGGTTGGGAAATCTCCATTTGGGAAAAGGCACCTAGGCTACTCCAATTTCCAAGTTTCCCCTGAAATCCTCCGTGCCTCAACTTTCCTTTCTCACAGCCTGAGAAGAGAGCAGAGTCTTTATTTAGAAATACATGCCTCCTGGGTGCTGTCACTCTGGTCAAACACATTGCAACTCTCTGAGTGGCCCTTCACTCACATGCTCCAGACTAAATGAGGACAACAGTTCTTGAAATTAGAAAGAAAAGTAGGAAGTCAGACTAAAACAGATGCAGTGAGAAAAAAATGAAGCAAGCTGAGAAAAGGGGAGAGAAAATCACAGGAGAAACAGTTATAAATTATTTTATAATAGCCACAGGGAAGGGCGGGTCACCTGACTTAGAAGCAGATGAGCCACTGGACTGGAGGAAAGAGTGGGTGGACCTTGGGCTTTCCCTTCCCGCTTCCCAGGATCTCTTCTGCTTCCCCCCTGCCTAGGTCCTCATGTGACTCCCACAGGGCCTGTCTTCAGTCCCTCTTCTCTAAATCTCTTTTCTCTTCTTTCCTTTCTGCACTCCAATTAAAGTATTCCTTTTGCTAGTTACAACACCGAAAGGATCTCTTAAAACATTTCACAGAGGAGTCTGCTGATCATAGCTCAGTATGATCATTTACCAAGAATATTCATATCCAAACAGGAGACAATAGGATGAATTCCCAATGGTAGATTGCCAGGTCATGGCAGAATCACTGGAGGAAAGGAGATCATTAGAGAGAATAAAAAGGAGTGGAATGAAGGATAAGGGAAGGGAAGGACATATTTATTGAGTGCCATTTAGTTGTACATATAGCATTACGTGAGCAGCTGCCTACAAAAGATTCCCTGGGCTAAATGGCTGCTAGTCAGGAAGTTAGATCCCATTAATCCAAATCTAAGATAATTCCTAAACAAAGTGGTAAGGAAATACAGGGAAAGACAATTTGACGACCCTCTCATCTTATGACGCTAACATTATACACATGTGGAAAGTGGACAAAAAGGGTGAGCAATTACTGGACTCTGATAGGGCTTCAGGAAAGTTAGTCAACCCCTCTGAGGCCCAGTTTCCTCACTAATAAAACAAAGCGATTGGGGGGAAAAATGGTCCTACATTTTCTTCTCATTCTTAAATTACATGACTCAATGAATTCTGTCAAATTTTCCCCCTTCATAGGATCATTCCTATAGCAGATAAACATGCTTTTATTTCTTCCATCTTAAAAAAACAAAAATGAAAAAACTCTCCTTATACTGCTTCTCCCTCTGGGTACTGCCCTATTTCTCTAATTCCCTTTTCAGCAAAATTCATTGGAAGAGATTTCTTATAACCTATATGTCCACTCTTTCTCCTCCCATCCTTTCTTGAATCCACTCCAATCAGACTTTTGTCTCCATCATGTCTCAGAAACTCTTCTCATAAATATCACCAATGATCTCTAGTAGTCAATACTCAGTTGTTCTTTTATTTGACTATTAGCATCATTTTTACACAGTTTCTCCATTGAATATTTTCTGCATTTGGCTTCCAGGACACCACCCGCACCTGGTTTCTGGTCACCCCTTTCAGTCCAATTTTCTGGGGTTTTCCTCACCCCCTCAAATTTCAAATATAGATGATCCCAAAACACAGACCTTATTTCTCTTCTCTCTCCACTCACGCAATGGACGATGTCATCTGTTCCATGGCCTTAAAGACCATCTATGAGCTGATGACTTCAAGATCTCTCTCTTGACACCAGACTTGTATATCCAAATGCCTACTTGAAAACATTCCTTAGATATCTAGTTGATATTCAAACTTCACATGACAAAAGCTCCCACCCTCAGTTTGCTCTTCAGGAAGACTTTCCAGTCCATTAAGTGGCAACTCTATCCTTCCAGCTGCTCAAGCCCATAGCCTTGGAGTCACTCCTAAATCTTTCCCTTCTCTCACACACCACTTCTCATCCATCAACAAATTCTATCAGCTTTTCCTTCAAAATATAAGCAGGAGTCCAGCCACTTGTTTCCACTTCCATTGCTTGTCACCATCTCCTACTTGAAATATTGCAGTTGCCTCTTATAACGGTCCCCATCCATGCTGGAAACAGATGGCATACCCAACTGGAGTAACTGAGGAGAATTTAATAAAAAGAGAGTTTATAAAGGTGTGGACAGGATGAAGGGAAATTAGCAAATGATGGTCACGTGTCCTGTGTCCAGCAAGCTAGCAGGCAGATAATGGAGTCATTATTAACCTTAGACCTTAGGGAGCAAGGAATGGGAGTAATTACCTGAACACACACACAGCAGGAACTGTATTCTTCAGTGGACAAACTTGGGCAGCCTAGGGCAACCAACAGGAAGGAAGATGGAGAAATGAAGACCATGAACTCACTCTCCTCCTGTTTTCTGATCTTCTGATCTCAGACATCACTGAACTCCAAGCCAGACGACAAGAGAGCCCATTGATGCAGTCTGTTAAAGTCAGCCTCCTAACCTCCTGTACTCCTCTGGGACACAGAGCAGAATGGAAAATGGTAGAGAAAGGATCTAGAGAAGAAAACAAATATATCAGCCAAAATATCCTTATCTGCAAAAGAGAAATAAATAGTACTGTCATAGAGTGAAGTGAAATAATCTACATAAAATATTTAGCACAAGTCTGGCACATAGCTTTTTTTTGAAGATTGGCACCTGGGCTAACATCTGCTGCCAATCTTCTCTTTTTTTTTTCCTTCTTCTCCCCAATGCCCCTGAGTACATAGTTGTATATCCTAGTTGTAGGTCCTTCTTGTTGTGCTATGAGGGACACCGCCTCAGCACGGCCTGATGAGGGGTGCTAGGTCCGTACCTAGGATCTGAACGGAAGAAACTCTGGGACACCAAAGCAGAGCATGCGAACTTAACCACTCAGACACGGGGCTGGCCCCTGGAACAAAGGTTTTAAGGAAAAAAAAAAAAAACAATTCTTATTTGCCTGGCATCATATTTCCAAGTGTGGATTTTTATGGAGTGATGTTTTCCAAACTTCAGATCATGACCAATTAGTGGGCTATAAACTTAATGGAGTTCCTAGCATTTTGTGGGGGGGAGGGGAGGGGACATAAAAGACCAGCATGCATTTCATGAAATACGGGTAACTATTGTCTCAAAAAAATTAAATTCAGTTTAAATACACATTAAATTCAAAGTGTGTGTGTGTGTTCAGTTATGTATTTGTTCCCTGAGTGATAATGTAAAATATATTTCTTATGAAGAGTCATGGTCAAAAAGTGTTTGAAAGCCACAATGCAAGAACACTTCTAGCTACTCCCTCTCACCTCTCACTTATTCTTCCCCAAGAAGTGACTTACCTGACTGACAAACTTGGAGGAGAAACTGAGCAGATGTGCTTGAGTCCTCTCTCATTCTCTTGTCCCTGCTAGTCCTCACTTTTATCTTCTCTTATTCTCTATAGTCAACTAAACAATGGTGTCCAAAGATATCAGGTCATAAAACCTGGAACCCGTAAATGTTACCTTACGTGGCAAAGTCTTCACAGCTAAGATTCTTAACAGAAACTAACGATTCAGTTAAGGATCCATGATTAAGTTAAGAATCTATGATTCAATTGAGCATCTATGATTAAGTTCATTGTCTTGATACGGGGAGATTATCCTGGATTATAGGAGTAGGCCCATAATGCAATTACATCTATCCCTTAAGAGGGAGGCAGAGAAGATTCTACACACAGAGGAGAAAGGCAATGTGAAGACAGAGTAGAGAGAGATTTCAAGATACTGATCTTCCTTGAAGATTGAAGTGATGAAGTCACAAGTCAAGGAATGCTGGCAGTCACCAGAAGCTAGAAGCAGCAAAGAATGATTATTTATCCATTCATCATTGACAAACATTTAAAAAGGTTACTTTTAAAGGTTCTTTGCATGTCTTTAGTGGGTAAGGAAGGGCTTACCAAATTTACATCCTTGAGTGAGGTGTCACGAGACACCTCTGAGAAGGCCTTTGCACACCAATTTGCACTCTGACTTCCCTGGTAAGAATAATAGCCACACACTAAGTGATAATTATGTGAAGAGCACACTATGTACATAATCTCTATCCTCACAAAAATTTGGCAATATAGTCATCATTACCCTTGTCTTACGAGTGAGAAAACTCAGTGTCAGAAATAACTTGTCCAAAGTCACACAACCAGTAAATGACAGGGCCAGGCTGTACATCTAGTTTGATTTGCCTCCAAAAACAGGGCTATCTCCACTTCACCTCCAAGTGTCTCCCTGCTTTGCCCATCTCTGGTTCCCAGAGGCTGGGCTTCTTTATGATAATCCATTCCTCAAGCAAGCTGAATGCCATCTGTACATGCCAAAAATATGCATAAGAAGAAGTTTTTTCAAGCAGCAATCTAGCTTGTTTCTGGCCAATTTGGTCCCAAGTTCTTACGCCTCACTTGATTATTTATTTTGTAGTTGCTGGGGGAAAGTTAGATAAAAGAGAGGCAAGAGAGGAAGATGTATACTTAACACTAGTGTCTTAGTGCTGGGTCATCTGTTGACAATAAATTACATTACAAAAATCTCAGGGCTAGAAGAGCTCTTGGAGATCCAAATACAGAATCTTTTTATAGATGAGGAAAACAAAGCCAATAAATTTGCTTATTTGTCTAATAACCAACCAGTTCCTCACAGCAGAATTTCATTGCACTGTAAACAGATTTCTAATACTTTGTAAGTTCTAAGTGGGAAGCAACTCCAAACTTATTTTGATCATCCAAACATTGTATTGTAAAACTTCCGTTATTTTTCTCTTCTCAAGCATTTATGTAAAGGTACATGAAACTGATGCCCTATAAGGGCAAAACCAAATCTTACTTTTTATTTTGAGGAGTGGGGGAGAAATTTTAAATAGCACTCTTCAGTTGTGGGGATTTTGAGATCCCATGATCAGAATATTAACCGTCTTTGAAGTGGTAACTTCATTCTACACAACAAAACCCCCAACGTTCACACAAGGTCCTGTCAAGTCACATATTTAAGTAAAATTCTTTTAACAAAAGAATGCTACCGAGTGACCCCTGAAACACAATGTAGTTCGTTCATTTGGTTTTCTGGGACATCTCGTTTGCTATACTGGGTTGCTACATATTTATCTGGCTTCATGGTGGAACTGATCCGGTTTAAGGATATTCATAACCGTCGACAATTATAAACAAAAATGGCAAACAGAGGTGCTGAGAGGTAGGGCAAAAACATTCTGAGTAAGACTACACAGTATTTGCTCGTGCCCTTTTATGCCAATACCCTTCCCAGCAGGAATTTTCAAATACCCTCGGCCCAGGAGCAAACAGCAAAACACAGAGACGCCCCACCTTCGAGCTCAGTAAGGAAGCGATCCGCCCACCCATCAACCAATCCGAAGCGGCGTTCTCCAGCTGCCCTCTGCTTGAGCGACCTTTTCTTCCCCGTCTGTGAGTCTCCCCTTTTACGACACTTTCCGGCCTAGTTTGCGGCCGCCACTGCCGTACTTGCTGCGGCGCCCGTCTGGGCGGGTGGTACCTGGTGCTGGTGGCCGCGGCGCTTTCTGGTACAGCGTGCGGGTGGTGGCTGCGGGCTTTGGGCTGGGATGAGCCGCGCTCCCGGCGGAGGCAGGGGAGCTGAGCCGGAGCCATGGTGAGTGCGGCTTGCTGCTCTCCTGGGCGATCTCGGGCCCACGCCCCAGCCTCAGCTCGTGGCCTCGGAGGAGAGGAGCCGAGGTGGTCCGCCTGGTGCGGCGCTGGGCTGGGGGTGGAGGGCCCCGGAGAGCCACCCTCTCCAGCACACAGAGCTGTTGGCCGCCCCCCACCCCCTCGGGCCTTTGTGTTCTTACACGGTCCTTCCGCAGAGGGTCCCGGCCCTTGGTCCGCCGCCGCCTGGGCTCGGAGATTAGTGGGAACGAGTTTAGTTATACCTGCCCTTCCCATAACACATTCCCACAGTCTTTTCTCTACTTTGCTTTATCTTTCCCCTTGGTTCTTGCTAACTCATCTCTTCTCGATTCCTGAACATATTCGGGCTTCTCTCCTGTTGTCTGTAATCGTGAGGCGAAACAGTGCCGAAGGCTCTGGAAAGCTAGTCTCCTAGTTTAAGCCCTCGTTGAACGTTGAAAATAGATTGTCAGTATTTTACAGGAACCCTCTGTAAACAGTTCTTCCTTCCCTAACAGAAACTTAACTTCTGTTGCTCTTGATTGAACTTTAATGTGATTCCATGCGCCCCGAGGTGAGAGAGAGGATTTCAAAGGAAGGAAATCATCTTTTTCACTGTTGTAAAAGTAAATTAGCAGATCAGTTTGCCCTTTTATTCCGTCATGAAAATCCCAAACCTTCATAAGGCATCAGGTAGAAAAGTTGCAATAGTTTTAAAGGATCGTTGGGCAGAATATTTTCACCCTTAACCTTGTTTCTCCCATTGAAATAAAACTTGTAATGAGTTGGGATGAGAGAATGGGTATGATAGGGAAGGGTGGGAATTAGAGAAGTAAATATTTACTCTGCTTCCCCTTACCAGGCCACTACAGTGGTAGCAGTTGGACTGACCATTGCTGCTGCAGGATTTGCAGGTTTGTTTATGGTTTGGGGGTGGAAGTGAAGTAGGGGGTTTGGGGACTTTTTAATTACTCTATTAATTTTGTTTTTAGGCCGTTATGTTTTGCAAGCTATGAAGCATATGGAGCCTCAAGTAAAACAAGTTTTTCAAAGTCTACCAAAATCTGTAAGTCTTACTAAACATTTTTGCTAATTCTTTGCTGCCTACGTATTAAGCCTAGAGCCACACTCAAGAAGGTAGGATTCCAAACTTGAAGTTCTAAGTGATTGCTTTGGCCCCCTTCTCTTGCTTTCCACAAGGAGGGTTTAGAAGTTCTAAGTATTGTAACGATGCTACCCTAAAAAATCAAATGTTATGTCTAACAGAATTGGGGCAGAGGTGTTAACAATGCTAGTGTCATGAAAGTTAATATCACTTTATTGTTTATATACTATTTACTTTGGCATCATCCGTCCACATTCTTGCCCTCCTTCCTCTGCTCTGCATCACAAGCACAGAGGGATCTAGGGATCTGAAGTGATCCATTCTTACTGTGTGGCCCTGGCACTCCCTCACATACTTGGGTGGCACTGCAGTTAATTAGGCTATAGAGTATGACTGGAGGTGATGATCATACCTTCTAGTGTCACAGTTCAGAGTGAATTTGGCTGTGACAGCCTGTTGAGTATTTATTTCTATTGTTGTGATTGAATGCGACAGAATAGAGTGAAGGTAGGCTTTGCCAATATGATTTCTTAGGTAATAAGGTCAGAGGACCTGATAGCCTGATTTTCTCAATACATATCTTAAAGTCTTGTTTTAGTAGTTGCCTCGAACCTCAAAATACTCTTGAACTACTTGTCTCAAAAGAGCTCTAAATCCTTTTCTTGAGGTACTTCTTGTTCTAAAAAATATAGTCATATTCTGAGATCAAATTTTTATCTAGAACATGGCTGACTTGGACATGGCTATCTTCCCTTCACTCCCAGAGGAACTGGCTTTGAGGCACTGTCCTTTTGTCTTAAATTTTCAACACAGTTTAGGTTGTCTGGGGAAAAAATGATCCATTTAATGATCATTAAAATATTTGTTGCTACTTCTAAAGCTAAAATACCCTGGGAACTGCACTTAAAGTTCTCTGAAATGTCTGTTTTTCTACTGGTTCTATGAACATTTACAAACACTTTTTTAGCAACTTTCAATTTATTCTAATAATCTTTTATTACAAATGCATTTTCTCTTTTAGGCCTTCAGTGGTGGCTATTACAGAGGTGGGTTTGAACCCAAAATGACAAAACGGGAAGCAGCATTAATACTAGGCGTAAGGTAATAATTTCTAATATTTTTTACAATTCTAGAGCTATGACCAAATGTAAGACCTTCTCTCTTTTATTTGGAGGGAGTTGTTATGTACAGTTTTAGGATCTAAACACTCCCTATAAAAATCCAGTGAGAAGGCACACTGGCACGTAAGCACTTTTTTGTCGTTGTTCAGGAAGATTGGCCCTGAACTAACATCTGTGCCAATCTTCCTCTATTTTGTACACGGGATGCCACCACAGCATGGCTTAATGGTCAGTGTGTAGGTCCATGCTTGGGATCCGAACTGGCAAACCCTGGGATGCCAAAGCAGAGCGTGCAAACTTAACCAGTATGCCACTGGGCCAGCCCCATAAGCACTTTTTAATTCATTGAAAGATAGACTTTTCAACAATCACAGTGCCCAGTGTTGTTCTCTATAGCTAACACATTTTTTATGGTGAATTGCTGCCTTCATTTCCAAATACTTAAACATGCTTTCCTTCTTAATAAAAGGACTATTGTAATGAATATTATCAAGTTCAACTAGATTTTTGTTTGAGAATGCCTTATTTTTCTAAGGAGCTGTTTCTTTAGTTCCCAGATTCAGAATATTCATCTCCCTTGTGTGTTAGGGAAGAGGCTCCTAAACAGCTTATACTGTCACAATGACTTAACTCGTTTCACACTGTCTTTAATTGGCTTTTATGTACAGTTTTTTGATGTGATCCAGTAGTAGTCTGAAGCAATACCTTTTCCTTTTTAAATTAGCCCTACTGCCAATAAAGGAAAAATAAGAGATGCTCATCGACGAATTATGCTTTTAAATCACCCAGACAAGGGTAAGTAGTCATTAAACTCTTTCTATACAAGATGTTGGAGTGACTGATTATAATTTTTTATCTAACTCTTGGCTATTACAAAGGAGATGCCTAAATCTGTATGTGAGCACTGTCTTGCAGGCTGGATCCATTTGTTGTTTTTGATGTCTTTAAAGAATAAATTCTGAGTGAAAAATGTATGTATAGAATAATGAGCAGAGCTAATTACTGTTATAATTTGAAAGTGGTGATAAGCGTTAACAATGTTTTGAGATCTGCACTTGTGATAAAATGTGGCTTCTAATAGTCATAAATACTGCTGACACCAGTTTGGTAGGGGGTTGGTCTACATTCTTAAGGAAATGTTCAGTTTCAGTTAATGAAACTAAAAGCATGATTTTTTTCCTATTCATTTAGACCTTTGAACTAGAAGTTACCTAGTTAGAAACCTATAGGATGTATTTATTCGTTTCTGATACTCTTCTAAGCAACCTTGGCTGTGTTGAAAGAAAGGAACTAATTCCTTGGAATACCAAATATAGACCACAAAATCCATGTTCCAGTGCTCACATCCTTTTACATTCATAGGAGAGGCTTTTCATTAAGAAAGAGGGTTTTGAGTTTTAAACAGGGTTGTAATTGCTTGATAGCTGACTGCATAGTTTATGAAATTTAACTTGTATTAACTGGAGGGCCTCTGATTCAGTAAGTCTAGGGTGGAGCCCATAAATTTGCATTTCTACCAAGCTTCGTATTGATGCTGATGTTTGCGGGTCTGACCACACTTTAAGGAGCACTAATCCAGGGGCCCAGTGGCGCAGCAGTTAAGTGCACAGGTTCTGCTTTGGCGGCCTGGGGTTCGCTGGTTCGGATCCCAGGTGTGGACATGGCACCACATGGCAAGCCATGCTGTGGTAGGCGTCCCAAATATAAAGTAGAGGAAGATAGGCACAGATGTTAGCTCAGGGCCGGTCTTCCTCAGAAAAAAGAGGAGGATTGGCAGATGTTAGCTCAGAGCTAATCTTCCTCGGGGTGGGGGGAGATTGACACCTGAGCTAACAACTGTTGCCAGTCTTCTTTAAAAAAAGAAAAGCACTAATCCAGCAGATCAGTAAGAAAGGAGTAGATATCATTGTGAAGGGACAATTAATAAAAGGAAAAGAGAAAAACTATGAAGGACAGAAGACAATCCAAAGTAAAGTGGGGTCTTTCCAACAAAGCTTAGAAGGCTGAGAATATCATGGTTTTAAAACAACACAGTACAATAAATATGTTCATTTATGATTTGTAATCATCATGAATAGGTAACTTACACTATTTCAAAATCACATAAGTATGTGGGGGTTTTTTAATCCTATTCCTATCAGCTTATGCTATTTTAGAAGGTGCCATTTTTGTGGAAATCTCCCTTATGTGACTCACTTCTGTTGCCCATTGGTCCAATATATTACCATATATTTGGTGATCCAGTTGCAATGTCAAAGTTATTTTTAAAAATCAAAATACCATTTCTGCTAATTCCACTTCTCCGATAAGCATAGGGATCCTTGAAACAAGAAAGTAAGTTTTCACCACGTAGAAATTGAGAATCTGTGTTATAACTAATCCTTTTTCTTTTTTCCTGTAGGAGGATCTCCTTATATAGCAGCCAAAATCAACGAAGCTAAAGATTTACTGGAAGGTCAAGCTAAAAAATGAAGTAAATGTATGATGAGTTTTAAGTTCTTCTTAGTTTATGTATATGAGTACCAGCTTTTTATAATAAAAAGCCTCGAAGCTACAAATTTTAAAAATGATTTAGCGTGAGCTAAATCAAAGCCTTGGTATAAGAGATTAATACTCAATAATTATGGATAAATACATACCATTTGAATAGAAATATTGTTCATTACTCACTTAGCAAATAATTTGGTACCTACTTCAAGGCAAAGTGAACAGGACAGTCTGCTTTCAAAGAACCTCCACTCTCATGGGAGACTGATAAACTGGTAATTAAAGTACAATATGTGATAAATATTATGATAGAATTAGCACAGACTGTTACAGTAGGGACTCATCTCAGGGAGGAAAGGCTGTTAAGGTACAAAGAACTGGCCCAGCTGCTTGGAACCTTGAATTTAAGTGAATTTAACCACAACTTTGACTAAGAAATTGGCGTAGGTATGTGTATATCCCTGCCAGCACTCAGATTTCATACATTAAAAACTGAAACAGTATGATAAAAGATTTGAGTACAGGTCTTGTTTTTCATCAAAGAATTTGCATCGTATTCAGCTAGCCTCTTAAAGAAACTGACCATTTTTTAATTACTTTGATTACTTTTTTACATTAAAGTTTTGCATTTGTTATGACCAAGCTTAAACAGTTAACAAAATGGAAAACTGAAATGCCCCATTAGCAAAATATCCAGCTTGTTCCTTGAGAGTTTATACACTGATAAATTTAAATGACATTTGAGAGCAAATGGCTTACTCTTAGTCTAACATAAAATATCTAAGGATCTTAACCAGAAGACCTGTGTAAAACCTGTGAGGTAAAATAGCTAGTCTGGTCACCAATAAAATATGTATGTATTATGTTTAGCTCTAAAATGATAAATTATACTATCTGCCATCTAAACTTTCTTAAATCATCCTCAAGTTCTTAACTATTAATGGAGAACACAGACTTTCAAGGTCAAAATAGTGGAGGTAATCATATTTAGTGTCTGACTGTGTTTAGGGGCATTTTCAGAGTTGGGATATATTTGCTCTTTGGTTTATTTTCCATCTTGTTTCCTTGTTTAAAAATCTAATCAAGTCCATTTGTTATGGTTTATTAGAGTATGAAGCACCAGGTTAAGGCAACGATGGCTTTTGTGTAGGATAAATCTTTTTTGTTATTTCCAGGAACAAGGGCATGTAAGATATGATTGATTCTAGTTATTCGAAGTAGTTATTTCTATAAAGTCACAGCAGTGAATTAGTGAATACTGAACCATTGTTCCTAAGGGCAATACAGGTTCCTATGAGCCTCTGTTCGTTTTTGTCCATGAGTATATAACCTTGTTTTATGCATGTTTCTGTTTAAACACACTTTATTTAATATATATTATTGATTCGTTAACGTTGAACTCACAGCCAACACTGTAACTCAAGCCAGCACATCACAGCCTTCTTGCATTTAGGAACATTAGGCAGCACTTCACTGAGTTTCAGGGGCATCTTTAACAAGGGTAATCACGAATAAACCATGCAAAAATGTGAAAAACTTGGTACTAAATGGACCATGGAACGGATACTCGTTTACCGTTATGAAAATTTAAACAAGGCAGAGCATCACTTTGTGGGCATCATGTGATTCAAATTTTTCACCCTTCTGCATGTCCATAAATGACCAGGAAAGCACTCTGAGTGTTGATTTGAGGCTTACAAATAAATTTTAGCGAGTAGCAGAATTTGCAAATGAGGAAGTCTGCTAATAATGAGGGTCAACTGTATTTAGGCTTACTGACCTTTTTTTCCAGTCCTTTGGACTAATCAAAAAAGTTTCTATGAACATGAGCTTTAATTGAGAAGACAGAGTATCAGTTAAGACTTAAACGCACGTTTTTCAAAGACAAATAGTTTGACAATATGCCCCAGGCAATCAAGCATTTACTCTAAAAAGGAAAACTTCATGTAGTGGGTATAAATACTTTTGAGTGTTTAATGCAAATAGCATACCTGTTTTTTTTCTTTTTTTTAAAGATTGGCACCTGGGCTAACAACTGTTGCCAATCCTTTTTTTTTTTTCCCCTGCTTTATCTCCCAAAACCCCCCCACCCCCCACAGTTGTATATCTTAGTTGCAGGTCCTTCTAGTTGTGGGATGTGGGACGCTGCCTCAAGGTGGCCTGACAAGCAGTACCATGTCTGCGCCCAGGATCTGAACCCTGGCCTGCCACAGCGGAGCGCGTGAACTTAACCACTAGGCCACGGAGCCGGCCCCAGCATACCTGTTTTAAGACAAGTATTGAGACAAGGGAGAACACTTTAAAATAATACTAAGGAGCACAGCAGAGCACATTTTTCTTTCATAGTAATCAGCTTTATTTCCAGGCTTACCTTTTTCAGGTAGAAGAATCCACATTTCATTGAAGGCTATTAGGCAAACCTACCATTTTTATTGGGGGAAGAAAGTCATATATATGAGGGCTCTAGCTCATAGTGGGTAACTGATGCAAGTATGAACTGTAAAAGAGCCTTCACTTTTAATGGTATTCTCTTACAAAATACTTCATGTGTCATTTTAGCATTTATTGACTACCTTTAGTATGCTAGCATTGTGCTAAACAGTTTCCCTGTTATCTCCATAAGAGTTACCATTGTTAACTACATTTTACAGGTAAGGAAACTGAAGTTTAGTGAGGTTAATAAGTAACTTGCCCAAAGCAGCATGCTGGGTGAGAAGGCTGATATTTCTAAAATGCAAAGAAAGGTCTGTCCTGTCAACCTCTGCACTGTGGTACCTTTCACAAATCTGATAACCCAGGGATGTTTGCCTTGGGGAAACGTGTGTGTGTGTGTGGAACTTGCCATTACACATCTAGCTTGAGGCCTTTTTATCAGTCATTGCTTACAGATAGACTTTTTTTAAATGAGGAGGAAGGTATGGTTGGACACAACACTAGGGAATAGGAGGTGCAGGTTTCAAGTCAAACTTCTGCAATAATAGACAACTTTGAGCAAGCCATATACGTGGTTAGGGCTTTGCTTCCTCATCTGTGCCGACTTGAAAATTGTGAGGATTCCTCTACATTTTATGGATAGGGAAACAAAAAGCTAGGGCAAATGGTTTCTGAGGTTACACAGCTAGTGCAACAGTAATTACGCCCTGGGTGTGTTCTCGTTTACTATGTTCATTTATAATTTGGTTCTATATTAGTCCTCAACAAGTATGTTTTGGGGGAATTCTTATCCACAGCCTTAATAGTAGATCTGCCTTACCAGTGGTTTAGTTTCCCTACTTAGCCCCTTCCCTTTGGCATTCACTCGGCCTCTGGGTTGACATCATGAGTCCTACACTACTTTATAAAATCTGCTTTGCTGATGATGAAAGTGGGCTATAATGAGTGGTCCTGGAAGTTAAATCTTTTCCCACCCTTAAGAGTTTTAATTAAATTTTCTTGCTTTCAAGTATTTTCCAAATGATGGGAATACCTATGGAAGCATTTAAACAAGAAAAAGTCTGGTTACACTGATCAGTCCAGAAGACCCAAACCATTCAAGAAATGTGAGAACTTGTGTGAAAATAGACTCGATACAAGCCCATACCTATATATTCTGAATCTCAACGCTTGGTTGTATATGGTTTTCTCTGCCGTCCTTAATTTGCTCTACTCTAAATTACAACAAACAGAAGCAAGAAGGGTAGAAGGCAGCAGGAAGCAAAAAGAAGTGGAAAAACTTAGGTAACTAGCATCCTAAAACAAGGGTAAAACCCTAAACTTCAAAATGAACTATGCCACACTAAAAAGCTGTATTGTATTCAGCATATTGGAAATGTATGCCCTACCTTAAAGAAAATTTTGCATCAGAAATATTTTTTTTAAAGATTCACTCAGAATGCTTCATGTAAATAATTAGTCAAGTTTTAAGTTTCAACACTTTAGGCTAGAATATTGACTTCTGTTTCAGTGAGAATTTACAAGGCATCTTTCTGTTGATAAAGACCTATAAAAGTTGTTTTGCACTTCAGAAGTATATAGTGGGGTCACATTTTATTGAGTATAAGGATGCCCCCAAACATGTTAATTCCAATGAGAATTTAGAAATTGGCTCAAAAACTTCAAGAACAGAATATGATAGGAAAAAAATACATAAATTTGAGGTAAAGTAAAAAACAGTATTTAGAGTGCTACAGTAGGTTTTCAGTTCTATAAAGTATCCTGGACTGAGAGTAACCTTGAGTACCAGGAAATTTAAATGACCCAAGCTCTGTTTTTTGTTGTTGGCACTGTCGTTCAGAGTGGTGTTCATCTCCTTAGAGCCAACTGTTAACCTTAGCATCAAGATAAAGGAAGCGCTTCTATCCAATGCTGTTATTCCTGACCCAATGATGAGGTCATAGTCCAGTGTTATGGTATAATCTGTAACGTGTTAACACTTGCTGTTACCTTAGTGCTGTTTCAATTAATGGAATTTCAAATGTAATGTTTACATGACATTTTTACAACCTGAAAACAGCAAGTTGAAAAACGAAGCTCAGAGATTGAGGTATAAGCTGCAAGCCACAATGAACTATAAATTGGTTCACCTAGAAAAACCATGGGAAAATTTTTGTAATGCAAAGTCTCTAAATTAGAAAATGAGTAGCTACATTTAACAATCCATTAAAGTAAAAAGGGTACAAAATTCAGAAAATATCCCTGTAATTTCACACCCCCAAAAAACATACCAGCCACTGAAACACTAAGAAATTTCAGAAGCTGTTAATTAGTATACTTAATAGTGGAGCTTTAAGACTGAGAACGTCAGTGAAAAATAATGTTGCCTCTGCTGTTGCTATCTTCAGATGATACACAGCATTGGTTGGAAATGTCTGGGATGGATACATATATAAAACATTTTAATTCAGCATACTCCTTGTTTAGAATACTTGGGAACATGGTTGTGTTACCCAGCATCCCACATATGACTAGACTCCAGTTATATTAATATTGGAAAGATCCTTAAGAGATCAGCTAGTCCAGCCCTCTCTAGTTAGATGAAATAGAACACAGAAATACAAGATGATATTTCTGTGCTTAGACCTCCATCTTTTCAGATTATCAAAAGAAGTAGTAGGCAAACAAATGGACTGATTAATTCCTCTTATAAAGCTGCATTTTAGTTTATCCAGGGCATCTTTGTGTACCTTATTTCAGTAGTTGAAATGGTATATAGAAGATACAGATGAATATGAATCTAAAGTGACCCACTGATGAACCGTTTTTAAAAAACAAAATTAATATTTCCTTATAGACTATATGTACCTCCCTCATCTAGTAATTAGGGATTTTCTGGATTAGATTTTTGCTTGGATTTCTAGAGTAAATGATTATACCTAAAAATTTATCATTAGGTTAAACCATAGAAAATTTGCCACTTTTGTGGGTCAAAAATGTTCATTTGCAACTTCTTATGGTTCAACATAATTGACTTATTTTCAACCAGCAGTTGAGTGCAGTTTTGAATTATCACCCCTTGCCAAAAGTTTAACTACAGCAGATTGTGATTACTGCAGCAGTTCCTGAAATAAAACTCAAACGCTAACAGAGGTTCATCATGAGTTCTAAGTGACTACTATCCATTCCAGCACACATGATAATAGAGAACTAAAATTTTTTTTAAAGGGGTCAACAAATTCACTATACCAGATATCCTTATAAAAGGGTATAGGGAAATCCAAACCATAATAGCAAAGAGAGGAAGACTGAATGCGACTTTACAACAAACATCCTTTTTGCCTTTTGGAATTTTGCCAAACTCATATATCCAAGTTCAAATCCAAGCTCCCAGAAGCCTTCTACAAAATCCAAGTGTAAAAGTCGTTTTCCTTTTCTGTCATTTCTAATAACCACCAATCATCTGACATAAGACTTACTGCATTGTAGCCAGTTTTCCATTCTTCTCTCCTTGGTAAACGAAGCTCATTGTAGGCACAGCCTATCAGAATACTAACTAGTTGGTTTCAAGCTCAAAAAAGTGTTTGCAGAGAACACAAATGGTACTGTTTCCCAACCTAAGTGCAACATTAACTTAACTTGACAACTGTGCAGAGACCCTTCTCAGGTTTAATACTAGACTCACAGCAAACAATAGCTACAAAAATGCCTGACTTAGCACAAAGGTAATGGGATCCGAGCCACAGAAGAATGGCTGGCAATGAAGATCCACAATACAAGAGTAAAATACCAGCTGCTTTTGTCTCCTCCTTAACTAACCCTGTTCTTCAGTTATTTTGCTTGCCTACATATACCTGTACTTTCTTTTTTTTAATTACATTTATTTAAGCACTTCCCTCAGCCCTGTCCTATGCAGTGTCCAGGTAAGTTTTCATGAACTCATCAGTTTGATGTGCTGCGTGTCTTAACTCCACATTAAAATATATAACTACTTAAAACTAAGACTTCTGTATATTTTACCAGTGGTGACTGAGCTGTCAACAGAGACCCATACCATTTTGCAAATGTTTTAGGCCCACTGAAGCTTAAAAAAGGTAATGCCAAACCGAAGAACCCTAGGCTTCCCAGATATCAGGAAAAGCAGTTAATTTTTGCCGCCACACAATCTCAGCTCCTATTTCATGATTTAGTTCAGATTGCATATATGATTTCATGTATTTACACTGAAACATCATTTAAGCTGCACAAGACCTTTCGATTTTTTTTTACTTGAGTGTGTCTTTGTTTACGATGTACTGGCAAGTTCTCCCATAGCAACGTATGATTTAACTAGTATAGTAGCGAAAAACGATGTACCCCTCTGAAATAAGTTTGGAAAGCTACCTGAATCAACAATGGTTACCTTGAGGAGTAGGCGTTTCACTTGTGAATCTGAGCATGTATTATTCACCAAAAATAAGTATCATGATTCTGCAGTACATATATTTTTTTAAAGGACGAAACACTGGGTTTAGTCATTGGTAAGTAATGAAATCTTAATATTGTTTCCTAGAATATGGTTATTAGTACTGTAAAGAACTACTTGGACTATACTATACTAGAAGTTTTAAGATAGGCTTGTGTTTCTTCCTTTCCCACTGAAACTATCTTCATGGAAGGAGGATTTTAGTGAATCTACATGGAAGAAAATGAAAAATCATTTTTTTCTTTATACCATATTTACCAGTTTGGGGATTAAGGAAAATTCTTTTCATACCTTCCAGTTAATCTATAACCCTATTATCGAAGAGAACTAAATGAAAAAGCCAACAATTTTACTTGTTTCTAACTTTGATGGATAAAAAAGACATTTGTTGGAAAATTTTTAAAAATCAGGATTTGACATTACTTGATACTGTTATTTAAGTGCAAGGATTACACTGTGTGCACCACATCTTACTTGAAAATTCTCACTTATCAGCGTTTCACAAAAAGGATTTAATACTTAACCTCAACAATAATAAATGTGAGGGCTAGGGTTTTATGTACACTGATCTGGAAACCAGTACATGTTTAACTATACCCTGAATTCTCTTTCAGTCATTATAAACTAAAATCATTTAAAATCTTTGTGCACATAACAAAACAAATTATGCACATAACTTTTCAGATGTCATGTGGCAGAAAGGGTTGTCTGTCTTGCTCAGTGGTCTATGTAATATTGTAGAGCAAAACTCTCCCATAAATCCAGTTGTTTACTATGACTTCACAATTAGCTGCATAAATTATTCTACCATTGTTACTCTTTAGAACAGCACTTCATGTCTGAAGTCCCTAAAGTTAAGCTCTCTGGCTAAAATGCATACAAAAAAGTACAATCAGTAGTAATGAGAACCTTCAGAATTGTTTCCTTGAGAATCAAAAGGCAAAGTAGTAGCCCATTATTTAAAAATTGCTCATCATACTTCTTTATAAAAATATTTTTTAATAAAGTCAAAGGCAAAAGTAAAATTCTGGATTTTACCCCGTTGCCTCCAAACACTGCCTCCGATTAGGACTTTGTTACAAAGACTCCTGATATCAAATATATGATCAATTCCCTAAGCCATTCTATTCTAACGGACTAAATTTTTAAGTGCTAAGATTTCAGAGGTTTCATTACAAAATGATAAACTGACCAACTAATATTTTAATGCTATTTATGAGCAAGTATAAATGCTTTTTAAAAGCAATCAGGATACTATTCTAGGCCTGCATGTAGCTCCAACTACTTTGCAACACTTGATATAAAAAGTAGAAAGTTAAAAATCAGCAAATGGAAGATCAAAGTTTATTTACTACCTGCATACAAAAACATATTGCACATCAAACAACCAAAATCAAAAAAAAAAAGAAAAAAGAAAAAAGAAAAGAAAGAAAAAGAAAAAAGAAAAGGAAAAGATACTCTACTTAAGACTAACATGTAGTTTATACAGAATAAACCTTCTGGAAATTGATCTTTTCAGTAGTTCAGGTTATGTCTGAATGGACATGTCTAATTCAGCTTAGTGTTTTAACTAAAGCTATGTTTGATTTTTAAATACTGTACACTTTAATAAATAAACCAAACAAAGCCTCAATGTAGAACAGTCACTGCCAAAATCACCCAGTGTCCCTGCAGATGCGAGTTTAACAAATGTATTCCAGTGGTCTGCAGATTTTCCTCTACATACAGCATTTAAAAAACACATTAAAACAGACCAGTTTCCAGACTAAACTAATGAAATTACAATTCAGTGCAAAATATTTTAGACTGCATTTCATTCTAGTTTTCCTCAGGTGAAGAAGTGGTTGCATATTATTAAAAATGTAACAAAAGCAGCTAATGCTTTCATAAAGAATATTACGTTAGGGATCCCACCCCACCCACCTCCCCCCATCTCTGCCATATTTTGAAAACAAAATAACATTTCCTATAGCCAGCAACTTTTTTTAATGTTACATATACTATTCTCAAGGCACATCTGATGATATATTTTATAACACAGTAGGTGTCAAAGTATGTTTAACATATGATTTCTTCAGGATCCCTCCCCTTTCTGAATTCCAAATGGAGGAACTGAAAGTGCGATGTAAAGACTGGCGATCCATATTCTATCTTTGGCAAGCTTGTACAAGCACTATTGTAAAATGTAAGGTAAAAGAACTGTAAACTAGGAACTTCTTCAGTTTATGAAACACCATTCAGGACTGCTGCTTCTTGAGTGTTTTCTTCTTTTAAGGTATTAATCTTTTCTTCTCCTGGAGTACGCTGTAGCTTAGAAATTTCATCGCCAGAAGCACTAGTTGGGCCATTTATTGCCTTTTCTGAAGGACCATGCTCTTCAATCACATCTTTTGCCTGCCAAAGGGAGACAACTTTTTCAACTTCTTAATAAATGAAATCTATAGCTGAGGAGGAAAATAGCTACATAAACATTAATCAGCTAATAAATAATTTGTTTCATATACCACAATGGATCAAAGAATTATAATGTTAAAAATCAAAACAACTACCAATATACTGAACCTCTCTGGGTCTGTCAACTCTATCTCTAGTACCTAGCAGTGCCTAAACCACAGGAAGAGTCTTATTTGTTTACTGAAAACTTGTGCCTAGTTTTATTTTAACCACTGGAAGGTTCACCATATAAAAGATATAAACAGTTAATACCCTAAAAGTAAAGCAAATCACCTACTTTACTCACCTTTTTTTTGAAACTCATATTTACATATCAAATCCCTTAAAGCATTTAAATAATTGAAACTTATAAGTCTAATCCATCATTGAAAAGAGGTATATTATAGCCTATTGCTCCCCAAATTAAGCAACAGTCTCTACACCCAATATCTTTGGGCAGACTGAATTTTACAAATACTCTTTACTTAGAGTTCTAACTGAAAAGTATTTCAAGCTCAAGCATGCATATCTTCAGTTACTTGGGGCCAAGAACAAAATCAAGAGTAGTCTTTAAAATATTATTCGTCTAGTTTGGGAAACAAGTGATCATACAGTAAGTTAAGAAATAAAAATAAAGCTAAACCGTACCAAAAAAAACAAAACAAAACCTACAGGTTAAGTTCTCCTTACCATTTCTTTCTTGTTTTTAGCCAAAGTTTCCCTTGGGAGGTTTCTTTGTCTGCTCTGAGACTCAGCTCTAGAAATATAATCTGCAACTGTGACTGTTGAAGATGAGAAAAAAATTACAGGTGTTGAAAAATATTTCTAAAGTTTATTTATGGATAAAGAGTAATTTCACTTCTAAAATAAACTAATGGTGGGTTACCCAATTTCAAAGTTTTCTTAAGCTGGGTACCACCTCCAACCAAAAACAAAGCGTGAAAAATTTGCCTGATTCAGTGCTGACAATAGAAAATTTCAAGCTGGAGATCGAGGACGCCTACATTAAAATCCTCTTTCACAAGAATCCAGCCATTTTTGCTTCTGGTTGAGTCTACGGTTGTGGGATAAGTTTGATATAAAAATCCACAACCAATAGGAAATACAGCATTTTAAGCCCAGACAGTGTTTGCAATTATCAGTGGGAAAAAATGGGGCGAATTTGGTGCAAATCATGGTGTAGTATACTTCAATTTGAAAATTTCATCAAAGATTTTAAAAGATTTACTCAAATCTTAGTTTTTTGTTTTTAAAAAGCACAATTAAATAATGTATCCAAAGTGTGGTATTTTATGGTTCCTTTTTAACATTTCTCATTAGAAACCATTGTGATTAAAAAAAAAAAAAAAAATTTACAAGCAAACTAAAAATGACGACACCACCGTAAAAATGTGGACATCAATCATGGTGGAAAAAAGGCCACCATGAAATCAGTAACCACCCCCTCCCCACTCTGCCAGTCCTTCAAGGGACTGATTTATTTGTGTGCACACACGCACGCACGTGCTTGCTTTCTAAGAAAGCAGGTGGATGGCAGTAGTGATACAGGAAAAAGACTAACCCAAGCTAACGGTCTACTGCCAATCCAAGTGCAACAAATGACCTCTGGTCTACATATACTCTGGACTACCTTCCCTTTATACCTCAATCCTTTCTCTTCATGGGTTTGCAACTTAGAATTAAATTCACTGATCTGAAGAAATATCAAAATAATCCTTTTTTTTTTTTTGGTGAGGAAGAGTGGCCCCAAGCTAACATGTGTTGCCAATCTTCCCCCACCCCCCTTTTTTTTGCATGAGGAAGATTGTCACTGACTTAACATCTGTGGCAATCTCCTTCCACTTTGTATGTGGGACACCACCACAGCACAATGAGCAGTGTGTAGGTTCGTGCTTGGGCTCCAAACCCACAAACCCTGGGCCACCAAAGCAGAGCACACAAACCTAACCACTAAGCCACTGGGCTGGCCCCTCACTTACTTTCTCTTTTTTTAAAGAATTATTTTCTATCAGAAATTGTGAGGAAAAATCCCTGATTATGTGAAATGTAGTGAATTTTAAATTATGGGAGCAAGTTAATTATGTAAAGAATGAAAACTCAAGTAAACTTTAAATTATTTAAAGTCACTAAGGTATGGAGAGAATTGGTGCATCAGGTTCAAATTATATGAAAATCATTTTGATATTAAAAAGCTACATAGTATTACAATTAATTTTTCTTAACCATGAATTAACATGCTAAAACTTTTATAAGATCCAAGAACTTTCTACAAATACTAAATGAATCTTTTCAAATCTCAAGGAAACAACTTAATTCAAAACTAATAGACATCATTTATTAGAAACACCACCAAATAAAGATGTTTCATGCCTAAAAACTGCCTCTTGCAAATTTTAAGAAATGCAGCATGCTCATTTTGGAACTTTTTAAATCATTTAAATTCACTGTTAATGAATTTATAAATACTTTTAATGATAGTTTCCAAAATTAGGGAGGAGAATACTACTATCCACTTCATTAGTATGTCTACATACGTGGTGGCAAAACCATTATAGGTACGATTCTAGTTCTGGGAGCACCTTAAAGAATTCATCCTGTTTCCAAAGTTCAGTCCTCATTGACACCTGGAAGAACTCAGCTACTTGGAAACTCTGCTTGCATAGACTGAAATACTGCTGTATCTGAATGCGGGACAGTTCTTACAACTCTTCATCCAATATGTACAGGCAGAGAATAATATACTTTGATAAAGTTATCAATTAATTTAAGAGGCACTTAGCTGGCAAGGTAAAAATTTACCAGTGCCCCTCCCCCTCCAAAGAGAGATGAAACCAAGAACAACTTCAGTTGAGTCAAAGAAAAACCTATTTATAGCCAGTCCTTATAATAAAAGCCACTTGAAAGTTCAATACAGTATTTACAGTATCTAAAAAAATATACAGGCAATTTGTGCAACATAATTTGGACTCCAGAATTTCCTCTAAGGGGACCAACTTACTCAGTTGGACTCCAGTGTACTGTCACATTCCGTGTATAGTAAAGAATATAAACTGATTAATTTACACTAAGGGCAACAAGAAATTATGAGCAAATGAGAATAATTTAACGACTGTGTATTTAAGAGAATGTTGATATTAACTTTAGATGAAGGCTGCCTTTCTAGAACTGCTACCAGAGTCAAGGAGAAAGTGATGTGCTTGCTTGTCCTATCTTGGATTTGTCTTTTGCTGGGGGCAGGGCAAGAAGTTTAAAAGAGGAAAAGCAGTAATTCCAAAGAACAGAATAAAACAGGAATAAATGCAGTATGGAACACAAATCATTGGGAAATAATTGAAAACTCCAAATTACTCAAGTTTCAATTAATACCATGCAGAAATCTCTGCCTCTTCTTTAACAAACCCCACTACATTCTTTTTATGTCCACTGACTTAGTAATAAACCACCATCCATCTAGTTAGTAAGCTACATTGTAATCTATGCTATGTTAAGTACATACTGATAGGTTGCAACTTTTTATTTATATATGGCCAGAAACCATATTCACTGCTGTGCCAGCTTCAAAAAACTAAATACAATCTCTTGATCTAAAATATATTCCTAACACTAAAGAGAGGGAAAAGAAGAGAAGGAAAAAGAGTGAGAAACATTTTCTGAAAACTTTCTATTTTTGATATTTAATTCCTTTTCAGTTTACAACTATCTTTAAAACATGAACTTTTTTTCAAGAATAGGAACTAATACCCTTAAACCAGTTTCCCAAATGTCTCTATAACCACTAAACTTAAAATACTAAAGATACTGGAATTTACATTCTTTACTTGGGGAAAACACAGGAAAGAATTTGTTTTGGAAAAGAATGCAAAAAATTGATTAGTTTAAAAGGGGTTTATTTCTGGTGCACACAATTTCTTCATTGTGAATATACACGTGATTTTCTGTACACAGGAAATGGAATTATGTTCAAAATAATATAGACACAGCAAACAAGTTTCTTTGAAGTTACTAAAAATTATGACTACTTAAAATGAATTAACATCCTAAAACTAAGTAAGTACTATTAATCTGAATAGTTAGTAGGTGTAAGGGAAAAAGCATCACACTACAATAAACAAACAAAAACATAAACATGCATTCCTCTTATTAGGAAAAAGACACTTTCAAGTATTTTTCTCATTTGTACTTTTTTTTTTAACCGTGGGTATTAAAATTCCCACAAAAATGAGGTGCTGAATCCAGATATAGTAAGCAGGCACCATGCAAAAGCTGCCCAGTTTTGCCAATCAACCTCAATCACAATCTACAACACAGTCCCTGGGATGGCAGGCCCCAACTCAAGTGTGAAGAATCTGCCAAGTGGACAAAATAATGGTCTTCTCAACAGTATTTCCATGTAAAAAACTGAGACACAACATTAGTTTAATTAGACAGGTTACTAAACATTTATGGTGTGAAGGAAGAATGAATGCATTTTCTTTAGAGTAGTAGTCTTATTAGTTGAGTAAACAATTTATGCAATGCACATCTTGAATGTATATGCACACGTGTACACGTAAGTATAATATATTTAGAAAGCAGACACATGACATTGTTTTTCATGCTTGTGACCTGGTGGTGTCAACAGGTCCACTCAAGTTACCTGGCTGTCTATCTTCTGCCTGACCCCTGAAACGACGCCTGCGGCTACGATTGCGTCGCTGGGGCTTTTTTTCACTATCATCTGTAATTGCAAAGTTTACCATGAACTATTCTGACAAAAACAAAACAAAACAAAAAAAAATTCTTTCCTTCAAAGATTTAAGGAAGGAGAAAGAGAACCTTTTAATTAAACAGGGAAGATAAAACAACATACATTACTGACAAGAAAAATACTTCTGTAGTTTAAGCATTCCAAATAGATTAAAAACGGAATTATCATCTGGAAATTAAGAGGGTTTTAACTCTTAATTAAACAAACACTAAGACTTAATTTAAATTACCATCATTCACAGATAAAGTTTTCCTCTCCAATACATTTTAGTTTTTACCAAAGTTAATGACATTTTAGCCCTTTGGAAATTAATGCCTACTCAAAATACATACTTCACTAGTGTCATTTGTAACTTTTAAAGAGGCAAGCTGAAAGCCCAATTTTAGTTTTGGAACAATGAGAGTATTAAGTGCCTTGCAGTTTGAATATTTATATTGATTTAATGGAATCAAAGGGCACTTTAATAAACCCTCCCAGTTTCAAATAATTTGGCTATACAAATCTCAGAACTAGACATTTCAGACAGACAAAAAGCTATCTACCTTATTTGAAGTAAACACTAAGAAAAGTTCAATTTGCAAATTGCATGTGTTTGGATTTTGTTTTCTTTGAAAAAAGCATCATACATTAATATTATACAATAATATGTATCTTTTCCCTAAGTGCTTACATACCTAGCCCATTTTCATTAACTGAGGCTGTATCAGATTCAGTCATTCCATCCATCAGAACAGCATCTTCATCAGTCCTTCGTCTACGAGACCGCCTACGACGGTTAGTACTGTGATGAGATTCGCTGGCATCAGTGTCTGCAGTCTGATCTGATTCTGTATTATCAAGTAAGCTGTATGGATTGCTGTCTGGATCTTTGAGCACTATATGCATGTCAGAGGCAAGAAATATTCGTTTAAGAGAACTGTAGTTATTAGGAATGTTTTGATCTACATTGAACTATATCAACTGAAAAAGAAACTTCAAAATTTCCCCCCAATAAAAATATATTCTGTCTTCAAATGTTTCCTCTACCACTATTTCACCTAGAAAATAACATATATGAAAAGAATTTAAATGACAATGAAAAATTAAAGCAGAAGATGAACAGACACCTCAGCTTCCTACCACTTCTCTGACTTGTTTTGAAAATACATTAGGAAATAGTAAATTATTACATGCTTTTTAAACATTCACATTCCCGGCTAACCTTGCCTAGAGGCTACAGAAATAAAAATGAGTAGAAATATATATTCAGTGAACATGAATTAACTCTACGAGCGAGCTTTTGTCCTCTCTACTGATTCAAGGTGACTGCTGCTGCTTTGTCCTGATGTTAACGGACTATTTCCAAGTAATACTCAACACCTGCACTCTGTGACATAACAGAAATCTGTTACTAGGAAGTGAAGCAACCAAAACAAATTTACACAGAAGGGCAAACTAAAGAAGGCTGAAATTCTAAGTGGTTATAGGAAAATGTGAAAATGAATGTTGACTAGTACTCCCATCTCCAGAAACAAAGAGTGAAGGCGGGGTAAGGTGGGGTGAGGGTGGGAAAGGAAAAGTTTTAAGATATAATTCATAAGAAAAAAAATACCCATCTTACCTATGTGCATTTATTGCCTCCACCAATCAAATTATAGAAGAAATTCACCTAATCACGATTTTTCCTTTCTAAGTTTCCTTTGGTAACAGCTAGCAAGCTAGCATCTTTGCAAAAGACACTAAGTTTATCCATTAATCATAAACACTAGGTAAAGTACATTTATTTTGCAATTCAGCATAATTTTATAAACTTTGGTAATAGTAAACAGTGTACTAGAATATAAAAACTATTTCCCTGAAAGCCAGCAAACTTAGGGCTTAAAGAATATCACTAGAACCAGAGAGTACCTTTAAAAAGTCCCTACATTTTGTGATTCATTCTAGTTCTTTGTAATTTGTAAGCAAGTTTGGTATATATTTAATTATATATACACATATGTTCTATAATCTTTAAAATACTATATAACCTTTCCATAGGGCATATGTTATAACAATAAAAAAAAGTGGTTTTCTTAAACTGCTATAAAATAATGTTAAGAGTATATCCCTTATATAATCTGGTCCACATATCCCTGACAATTCTCCCCCCAGCCCATTATTGCTAAGCAAGAACATTCTGGAAACTCCAATTCTGCTTAAGTTATAATATTTAAAATTTTCAAAAAGACACAAGGAAAAGTTGCTTTATACACCTCAAATCCCAGGCTTCCAAACACTCTTTTACAGATCAATTCCTCAACCAATGAAAATTTTTTTTTAAAGATTTCAAAATTTTTCCCTGTTCCCAAAGTAGTACATAATGTAGCAAAGAATGTTTCTCAGTTTATTTTCAATATTAAATATACAAAAGTATTTAGCTCTGTGCATTAGAATTCTCTGAGTCTGCCTGATAAACAAATATACACCCCAAATACTCTAAGGGAAAAAACATTCTAATTACATAAGCCCCCAAAAACTGACGAGATAAACATCTGACCATCGAAAAAGAGCATCAGCCAACTAAAGTTTCTCTGACCTGAACGTTCTAGCTAAACCCTCACTAAGAAAACACTCCACAGGGCTTTTTCTTATATTGCTGTATGTTCCACTATTTTCCTGAGACAGTGAGTGGAAAGAGAAACTTCCAAAAACTGGGTGCCCTGGGAAATGAATTAACTTGCATAAAGTTATACTGTTTACAAAGAAAGGATGCTGACATAGTATATAAAAGACTACCAGAACTGATGGAGGATTTGCCACCACGTGGTCCACCACGACCTCGACCCCCTGAAACACTTCTGCCTCTTCCTCCTGGGCGTCTCCTGCTGTCACGCTGATGTCGGCTCTCTCGATCATCTTCTCCTGCCAATGACCAATCACTCAGCTCGTCTTTACGCTCAGATTCTGTTTCAGAAGGGTTAGACAGCTCAGAGTTTGTACCTTGAGAAAGAAAGAGAACCTAAGAGTTAGATTCCTATTAAAAAAGAAAGAGTGAAATATTTCAAAATTATTTCCTACAAATCAGTATTTAAATAACCCTACTGACTGGCTGCTTCAAAGGTGGCTAAATAAAAATTAAAATGAACTTGAAATTTATTAACTAAGAAATAACCAAATGTTAATATTATACAAGTAATATAATACTGTAACTACTAGTCAGATTAAAAATTGAATTCTTTGGATGTGCAGAAACACAGCCAATAGAATGTTATAGAAAACATACACAATGTTACATATACAGTATGAAAATGCACTTAATATGGGTAAATACTGAAAAAAGTTTTGCCCATTTTTAGGTTTTAATAAACTATTAGTATAATAAAAATAACCATTATCCCATATTTAAAAGTAAATTTAATCACAAACAGAAAAATGAATAGTTTAACTATATAGTATATTCCACCATTATTTCATTGATTCTAGGGGGGCAGGTTTTTCACATTTTTAACATCTCAAAAATTAGGATGCTTCTTGTCATTGATGGTCTCATGAACCAGGAGTGTATTTTTAGTGGTCGTACATAAAGTAATAGTATATTTTATGAGCAAAAGTGTCTTAAATTAGAAGAATACAGTATTTGAAGTTACTGAACAAATTTTAAGGAGATTACTGAGAAGACGACTTCAACCTAATAATCAATAGAACTGAAACCATTATCAGTAAGACAAAAATTCAGTAGAATTTTCAAAGTTCATAGACCATTTCTAACGTTTCAATGACCTATTTTTAATAGTGACCTTTTAAAAATTTAAACACTGCATGGATTCTATAAAAGGCTATAATACTCATTATTATATCATAATTACAGTGCCAGGTTTCTATCACCCAACCACTATCATACTCATTTTCCACTTTCATTCTTTGTTCTGGGATGCCCCTTCCATCCTTCCTTTTATCATATATCCAAATATATCTCCTTCAGAGCCTACCTCAAGTTCTAGCTTCAGATCAACTTAACTGAAACAGACCTCTCTCCTTCTCTTATTTCCTCAAATGTAATGTACATCTATCATGCAGTGTTGTCATGTGTTGTTTTCTATTTTCTCCTCTTTGGATTTACTTCCCACCTGGTCTATGATATCTTTAAAGGGTAGAGCTCTCCTATACCTCTAAATGACCCCAGACACCTAGCAATGTGCATAACAATTTTCTCTTGATAAATTAATTTGCTGCATGATTCTGAAGTTTCTTGGCTCATCTCCCAATAAGAGTGATTCCATGATAAAGTAAAAGTTCCCTATATTTAAACTTCACAAGTCATTTGATGATAAAAGCAAAACACAAGAGCTCTACAGATGCACAAAGTTCTAAGTACTAAGGAGCAGGGAATAAAATGTAAAGTTTAATAAATGAAGAAGCCTACTAACTTCCTTTCTCCTTTAAATATAACTCTTGAATGCATCTTTCTTCTCCACATGCCATTAACTATGGATGTAACTAGTCACTCATAGAAGAATGGATTAAGTAATTATTGGAAGTATATTTTAGGAAGACTATAACAAGTTTCTATTATTCACATTCGAGTCTGTTAAGTAAGAATCTCACAGAAAAGAATGAATCTCCTAAACACTAATTTCTTGAAATGACAAAAGAGAACTTTATTAACTAATGTCATGGTTTGTTCGAATAGGGGCAATTTATCATTTCATAAATAGTGGAAAAAAACTTTTGGAATGTATAAAAACATCTGAATTTATTTACAAATATACAGCTTGCCTGAAAACACTACCAAAATTTGAAGGTAGATAAATATATCATTTTTAAACATTCTCACAAAGTTCCTATTAAATTCTCTTCAGAAATATAGTGTGGTATTTAACTCAATGTCATAAACAAGCAGCCAGCCCTCGGTGGTCTAGTGGGTAAGATTCAGTACTCTCACTGCTGCGGCCCAGGTTTGCTTCCTAGTCAGAGAACCACACTACCCGTCTATTGATGTCATACTGTGGTGGCTCCAGGTTGCTATGATCCTAAAAGCTATGCGAGCAGAGTCACCCATGGTGGACAGGTTTCAGTGGAGCTTCTAAACTAAGACAGACTAGGAAGCAAGACCTGGCCACCCACTTCAGAAAAAATTGGCCATCAAAACTCTGTGAATAGCAGCAGAGCATTGTCTGATATAGCACCAGAGGGTGAGAGGATGGCCCAAAAAGTACCAGGCAAGATTCCACTCTGAATCAACTCGAAGGCACTTAACAAAAACGCAAGCAAGAAAATTCTTAAGTTTAATCTAAATCTAGTATTCAAGATACTAAATCATAAACAGATTTTAGTAGATAAGACAGATAGTAAAGTCAAAAACAAAACAGGCTATTGAATTGGCTAGTGCTCCACTTTATTCATATTAAATAACCTTTAAACATTTTTGAGATGGCAAATGGGACTTTGCAGATGTGATTAAGGTTAAGGATATGTGGGGGGTGTCACCCTGGATTATCCAGGTGAGGTCAAACTAATTACATGGATCTTTAAAAGTAGAGCAGCATTCTGAGCTGCAGAGAACTAGAGATGACAGCATGACTCTGCAGTTCCTGGTTTTACAGAGGAGGAAAAGAGGGCCACAAGCCCAGGAACGGAGGTGGTCTCTAGGAGCTGGCAATATCAAGGGAACAGATTCTCCCCTAGAGCCTCCACAAAGGAATAAGCCCTGTTGACACTTAGATTTTAATTTTAGCCCAGTGAGACTCATGTCAGACTTCTGACATACAGAACTGTTAAGATAATAAATTTGTGGGTTCAAGTCTCTAAGTTTGTGACTGGTTAAGCACAAAGCAAAACTAATACTCTGCTGAAATCATGGCAACCATTCCCCATCTCTCATCCAAAAATTTTTTGAAATAGCTTTAAAAATGATTCATGAAACTGATCCAATTTTTAATAACTCCAACAATAAAAAGACCTGTTTTAAACAAAACTTTAAATCAGATTTTCTCCTAAAACTTCTAAAATCACCTCATAAGGATTTACATCCTTTTCAATGATCATGTATGCTAAATTTAATAGCTCAAGTACATTTTATCAAATCCAACATACCATACCATTGTAAGACATAATATTTTGCATGCCATTAAAGAAAATGCTGCCAATTAAAGTTGTAAGACACCATCCATTGTAAGATACATACCAACTTCAGAAATGTATTGAGAAAATGTTTCTTATAGAGCTTATACAAAATCACCTAAAAATCCTTCTGATATCAAGCAGACAAGAACATGTATAACCAAATTCAAATGGTTTTTATTTCTCGAGCCCAGTTAAATAGCTATTTCAAGAAATATGTTACTGGTTTGCTAAGATTCAGAGGTAAGAGTGCCATCTACTGAAGAATTTGCATAGTTTTCTTCAATCCAGATGATATTCCTCTACCTTTATCATATAAAAATTTATCAACTGCTGTCAACAAAAGCATTTTGCCAAGGAGTGACCTCTCATGAGTAAGTGGACTTCCCAGAGGCTTATGAAATTCTTCAATGAATTCATCGTCCTCACCATCCAAAAAGCCAAATCTGATCATTTGTGCTAGTAATTTGTACCTCTAAAATCATTCAGTATATACTAATTGCTCTTTAATTACTTTTGTATTAAATGTATTTTCAGGAATACAATAAGAGGTCACAATTCACATGCTATAAACACTTTCACTTTACTAGAATTTTTGCTTCTCAAGTTTCAAAATAGAGTTAACTTTAAAAAATATCAAGAAATGAGAACAAAAAAATATGAGGATATGAAAGGGAAGGGATAATCAACCTTCCAACCCTTAGAACAAATGAAAGCAAAAATTTAATATAACTCTGGCATCATTAGATAATCCTTCAGTCAAAAAGGAAACTTAGATGTGAAATCTGCACAAGGTAAGCCTTCATCTATTTCTCTTTTCCCTAAATGCCCTCTGTTTTGTGAAAAAAAAAAAAAAGGCTTATGCAAGATTTTCCCAAAACAGGATGAACATAGGGGAGTTGAAAAAAGAGAAGGGAAGAGAAAGCGAAGAAGAGGAGGGAGGAAAAAAATCAAGTCACTACCAAAATCCAAGTCGAAATGTAGAAAAATGGAACAACTCCAAAGCTGAAGAAGAATAAGTGAGAATTTAGGATTAGAGAATTGTTGACCATCATCATCCACTGGTCCCTTGTTAGGCCCCATCCTTACGGTGAAATACATTTCAGAAAAAAAAGGTTCATTTATAAAATGTTAATTAGGTTCTGGGCTTTTAAAGTACTCGTTTTAGTGAAATGCTGGCTTTCACAAAATAATTCCAGATGTGAGATATTAATATTCAAAACTGCCGAATGAGCCAATAAAGTATATTTTAAACGCTAGTACAGATTTGCTATATGCAATCTTGGCACAGTGATTAGCATAGTTTTTGTTTTTACTTTCTTAGAGAGTAGGCAAAAGACGATTCCTAGCAGTATCACAACCATTACGAGGGTTTTTATTGGAAAATGTATACAACTGTACAAGGGAAATATTTGGAAAACAAGTTTCATATTTATTTATTCTAAATATTTGGAATAAACATGATCATGAACTATCAACTTAACAAAAAACATGTTTCATTTCATTAAATAGCTGCTTGAATATTAAGTGCCTTTTACTGTCATTAATAAAAGTATGCTGTCCCTACTATTAAGACATATACCTCAGAAGTATCTCCTGTCCTCAAAGCCTAGAATGATGAACTAAGTAATAATAATAAGTAAATGTACTGGAGCGCATAAACTAGTACTACTACAATAAAAATTTGTTTTTTACCATAACCGGAGGTGTAATTAGGGCCTCGACGACCTCTGCCTCTTCCACTATAAGACCTAGAACCTTGTACAGAAGAGACGGTACTTTCATCAGTGGCATATCCTTTCTCTTTTTCAGGCCCTCTGGTGGAAGAAGGTCTGAAACCCATACCAATCTGTCGTAGCTGTTCATCAATCTGTAGGCGTTCCATTCTTAGCTGCTCTACTTCCTACAATCAAAACAAAAAAGGGTAAATCTTCTTATATGTAACTTCTTTTCATCTTAAAGCCTAGAGCTAGAGCTAAACTTCCTACCAAAGAAAAAAGCTGCAATCTTAGGCAATTTTTTGGTAAAGTACAACTGTGCACCCGGTAAACAAAATTTACAAGGCCACTGATTCACCAAATATTTACTAAATGCCTTAGTGTTTGCCAAAAATGTTAAGTGCTACAGGCATACAATACAAAAAACAAAAGATTCTCCTACTTCAAGAGGATGTTTAACAGGTAAGCATTAAAATAACCTATTTATTAAATAGCTAAAAATTATAAATTATCATCCGATTTAGCCCTGAAGGAGTTACAGCTCTGCTAAATGAGGTACAGCTGTCATCTATGAGAGATACTATTAGTAACCTACGTTCCTATCAAAAAGGTGACACCTGAGTTACGTCTTAGAACTACTAGGCTTGGTCATTTAGAAATTGACATAATTACAGGACGTGAAGGTAAAGTGTCTAAAGAAAGCTCTTGGCTGAAAGGTAGGGTACTAGAAGATAAAGCATGAGCTTCGAATGCCAGACTGAACTGAGACTTATCATATAAAGATGCGCTTTGAAAGAGAAGCATGACGTTATCAGGGGCACTTTCAAAACATTAACAGGAGTGATATGCATGACTAAAAGGAAGACATACTAAAGATAGAGAAGTTAAGGATATTGCTATACTTTAAACAAGAGAAACAGGAATAAACGGAAGAGAAAGGGTTGCAAAAAGACAACTGCAACTTTTAATAATTTATGGGGCATTTCCTTTCTAAAACCCTTGCTCTTTATTTATCAACTGAAATAGATTATATTAGAAACAATAGTTAAGAATTATCAAATGATGTCTACAGGGATAGTGCATCTGATTCAGGTAATGACAGTTACCAACAAAGCCCATCTCGACTCCTGGTTCTGGCCCTATTTGCATGTAAAACATCAAGGAAAAAACAAAATGGTTCTAGTATAGAACTGTTTCTATAGAATGGTCAAACTACAGGAAGACAAGAGTGATCATTCTTAAACAGTAAGGAAAGAAGTGTAAAAGTTCACAGGGAAAGAGAACCAATGTACATGAGGTCAATCATTTTATTATGGCAAAGGACTTTTTATTTTTGAATTCTCATGTAGAAAAACAGAGCAAATCTGAATCAACAAAAATATTTAAAGATTTGAAATTCACTACCAACAAATATAAATTTAATTATAAGTTTAATGTGTGGAATAACGATATGAATGTGAACAGAATACTAACCTTTAGATAAGCAATATGATACTCTAAAAGAACTTGCACATTTCCGATGCTTTCTTTAGTGCCAACAAATACAAATGGAACCATCCCCTGTAAGAAAACACAATGTCCTCAGTATTTAGTATTTTAACAAAGTTCTAGCCTAAATGTAACAGACCAATATATAATTTGGAAAACTTTTCTGAAACAAAGCAATTTACAGCTACTAAACATCAAGATTTAAAAATAAATTGCTTTTTAAAAAGATCAATATAATTTGAAACACTGAGACTTTCACTAATGTCATATTTGCATTACAATTTAGCATTTAAGTATGCTAAAAAATTTAAGAAATTACTTTTAAAATATAAGGTTTTCTAATTTCTAATTTAATCTAGTTCTAAGTATACAAACTAGCTTTTTAAAGAAATTTCCTTTCAAACTGGCAGGAATTTACAGACTAGACGTATCACCTTAGCAGTGACTGACTTAAAAACACAATAAAACACACTAGCCAGGTCATCCCTCTAACATATGCTCAGCTCACAAAACCTTCAATTTCTGGGTATTGGTAGGAGTGCTTCTTGATCATTAAAAGCATCACCTACAGAATAAAAATATTTATACAATGTAAAATAAAAGAATTACTGATATGGGCAAATACTTAGTCACAGGTATTAAAGCAAATCAGAGGATTAACCTAGACCTGGTTTACTTCGCTGAATTTCAAAAGAGGAAAGTTTAAACAACTGGGAAGGAAGAGAAATAAGATAGCTAAATAACAACGGGTTTTTTATTTTAAAGAAATACACTTCAAGCTTCATATTAACTAAGGAAAATAAGGAAAGCCTAAATAAACTCACCCAATCAGTTTTAGTGTCTCTCCTCACTTTCTTGATTTTACAGAATAGCTCCCAACAATTATTTAAACAGACTGGCTTAAGAATTTGGAGTTCTAAATATGGAACTAAGCGTGGCTTAAGAATTTTTGATGGTATGTAAGAAAATCACTCTATGACTTATTTTAAAACTACTTTTTTAAAAATTTAATTGGTAAATTTTACATATGGGAGAGTAAAAAGTAGGAACACACGAGGGCAGATACTAAGGATACAGGACAGCTCAAAGACAGCTGTAATGACCATAAAGAAGTAATTACAACTATGAATCATGAAACGAGGGAATCTAACTTAAGCTTAGGAAGTGAGTTAGTCTTGACCCTGTCCTCAAAAATGCACAGGCAAGTAAGAGGATGGCGGGGGGGAATGATGAAAAAAAGTTTAAACAAATACTATATTTCTGGGACTATGTTATTTATTCTACATCTATATTTTATTTTCTAAAGTTACTTTCTTTTTTTTCCCCCTGCTTTTCTCCCCAAATGCCCCCAGTACGTAGTTGTATACTCTAGTTGTGAGTCCTTCTAGTTGTGGCATGTGGGACGCCGCCTCAGCATGGCCTAATGAGTGGTGCCATGTAATAAAACAAAGTCCTTGTTCTAAAGGCAATCATATTCTCAGAAAAGACACTAAACATTCCTGTAATAATCTCATTGTATAGCATTAGTGATATGAATTAAAAACACAGGAACATTAGGAAGAATGTGAATTATGCCAGCCCAGATGTGGAAATTTAGGGGAATTATAAGAATATTACTGTTATTTAAAGTGGATGTTAAAACAAACAGAATTTTACCAAGTACATAAAGAAGGGAAAGTCATTCCAGACTGATGAGCTGCAAGGAGTAAGAGAAATACAATGCCTTGATCCTGAACTGGAGATGTCATCACCAAGTTACCCCCAAACAAAGGGAGACGCAAAAAGGTATCTTTAAAGGCATATATTTTACAGAATAATGGCTGTTGTAAAGTCATAATAAGAAAAAAATTGAGAGTAAAGAGCAAGCGATTATTAGTGAATATGAGTTCATTTCTGAGACTTCAATGAAATTCTAGATGTTTGAAATGCCAAAAACTGATTATATTTAACAGATGGCACTAAGACAACCAACTAGCGCTCAGAAAAAATAAAGCTGGATCCGTTTCTGATACCTTACACTAAAAAAACCCCAAATGGAGTGAAAATTTATGCACTAAAAAAAACCCAAAAACCTGGAGAATAAAATATACAAATGGATTTCTGAATGATCTACAAGTGGGAAAGACCTTGCCAAGCATGACAGAAAATGCATAAGCCATAAAGCAAAAGTCTAAAAAAATCCAACAATGTAAAATTTTTTAATGTCTGCACAGGGGGAAAATAAAAGCAAAATAAGAAATATGTGTTACACATATGAAAGACAAAAGACTTCCTTAAGGGGCCAGCCCCATGGGGTGGTGGTTGGGTTTGGCAGGCTCTGCTTTGGCAGCCCAGGTTTGTGGGTTCAGATCCCAGGTACAGACCTATGCCACTCAGCCATGCTGTGGTGGCAACCCACATATAAAGTGGAGGAAGACTGGCACAGATGTTAGCTCAGGACTAATCTTCCTCAAGCAAGAACAAAAACAAAAAATCAAAAGACTTCCTTAAAATGCAAAAAGGTCTTACAACTCAGTAGTAAAGACAAAAAATATGCAAAGGACACACAAGCTGTTTACAAAAAGATCAAAATGTCTTTTAAGCACGGAAAGGTAACAGGTACACCTTATGGAATGGCACAAAAGTTTAATGAAACTCAGTATTGGCAAATAAGTGGAAAACAGACATTTCCTACACTGGTGCAAAGAATGTGTGGGAAAATTAACAAGATCTAAATATTTAAATGCCAATACAGCCTTTGATCTAACAAATCCACTTTCATGAAATTTACTCAATAGTCACAAGGGATGTCTGTTTCGGCACTGTTTTTAACAGCAAAACAGACATGAAATGGCACCATAACAACAGTCTGAAATCTATTAGCTATGATGGAGAGAGAAGGAAAGACACAGACAGCACATAGACATATATTTATTTTTCACACTATACCATTCGATGCTCTTCTGACTTACACATAAAGCTATTTCTTTTACAATTAAAAACTCTAGGGGCCAGCCCAGTGGCGCAGTGGTTAAGTGCACATGTTCCACTTTGGCGGCCCGAGGTTTGTCGGTTTGGATCCCGGGTGCGGACATGGCACTGCTTGGCATGCCACGGTGAGGCAGGCGTCCCACATATAAAGTACAGAAAGATGGGCATGGATGTTAGCTCAGGGCCAGTCTTCCTCAGCGAAAAGAGGAGGATTGGCAGCAGTTAGCTCAGGGATAATCTTCCTCAAAAAAAAAAACAAGAAACTCTAATCTTAAAAGAACTTAATGAACTAACAAAATATTTATCAAGTGCCTATTCATTGTGCTAGGGAAGAAGAGAGACAATGATAATTCAGATTTGATTTCTTGACTTGAAGGAATTCATAACCTGGCTTGGAGACATAAGATAAACCAGAAAACAAAATACAAGGTTGAAAGAAAATTAAGTACCTAACACCAAAGACTTCAGAGTAAACGAGTTTTAAAATGAGTCTCCAGCGGATTTAGACAGCTTAAATTGTGAGATGGTGGCCCCAACTAAGCCAATACCAACCTTCACATTTGTTTTAACATGCAATGGTTTAAAAATTGAAAAATTTGGGTATTATTATAAGTTTCCAGCTTCTCTTATAAATATTGGAAGAAATAGCAACACAAAATGCATGCATTCCCACATGGCAACCAAATTAAAGCTGAGCTGCATCTGTTTCTTTTACAGAAAGACATCATGAGCCCTCCCCACTCCTGTCTTGTACATCCCAACCCACTTAATTATTTACATAATCTGCTTGGTTTAAGCATGTAAGTTTCTTAACCCTGGTACAGGAATGGTGGTAACAATGACCAAAACTACAAACACAGGGAAGTACAATGAGTTCTTATTTATGAAAGAGGACCTTAAAGCTTGCAAGAAGATGGTAAACACTAGAAAGCAACTGGGGATCAGCAAAGCTAAGGGAAGACTAGATATTACTACCAAGCTAAGAAATTTATAGTTCAGTCATTTAATGGCCCTGTCCAGTAAACATCTTGATCTTCAGATCAACTTATTAAGTATAAAAGGGGAAAGCGCCAAATATAATAGTATCTACTATATATATGTGAGTACATACATACACAGCATCTATTTTAATCCTCATCTCAAAGGCATCTTAAAGTCACGAAAAATGACTGGGGAAATGGTGTTTAAGAATAAGCAAAAGTTACTTGAGACTTACAACAAATTTTGAAGCAGTGTACAGTGAAATCAATCTGAGCCACAAGTACTCACTTGTAAAATACTAAGTTATTTGTTTTTCCTCATTCGCTTTTAAGTGTATATTTACCTCCACATTCTAACTAATTAAAAAGTGTAAGGGAAGTGGCTACCTTTAATAAGCATCTTTACAACATCCAATACTTGATATGAGGCTATCTGTCAGGACTAAACGTCTACAGATTTCTCTGTTTGCTGAGGAAGATTCACCCTGTGCTAACATCCGTTCCCAATCTTCCTCTTTTTCTTTTTACGTCAGCCACCACCACAGCATGGTCATTAACATGAGTGGTGTAGGTCTGCGCCCAGGATCTGAACCGGGCTGCCAAAGCGGAGCATGCTGAACTTAACTGCTAGGCCACTGGGGCTGGCCGCCTTTTTTTTTTCCTTCTTTACAAGACTGATTCTGTTCAACAGGTTAACCAACTCTCCAAACAGTAATCTATTGTGCAAAACTTGAGAGGTTGTGAGTATCCTGCTTTCTGGGAGATAATTCGGGGGAAAATTCTTGCTTTATCTTCAGGCATACAAAGTTTAAGTCAACTATACAGAGATGACCACTGGAGCCACAAAGGTGAGAGATCCTTAAAGTGATGTATGAGGAATAAAGAACAGCATTGTGAACAAAACATCAACATGTGAGATGAGACTGAAAATGAAATTTCTGAAAGTTGGCATCAGAATTCACAGCAACATAAAAGCTTGAAGATTTCAATTAAGAAATGGTCAGTGCTTTCAGATTCCACTGAAAGTAAAGGAGAGTGTTATTTATCAAGAATTCCTTAATAATACACTTCTGTTGAGAGTATCATATTCTACAGATTTACACTCTAAGTACAAAAAAAGAACCGTTAAGATTATCAAATTAAAACCTTTTTATCAAAAACTGGGTTTTTTTACTCAAGTACTGAGAAACCAACCAAGAACCAAAGTCCCACAATTGAAAGATGACTTGTTTTCTAAGTATGTACAGCAATATTATAAGGAACAGAATTTTTTTAAAAAGAAAGAAAAATTCACTGCATCAGAGCATTAAGTAGGCTCACTAGATACAACTTTCCAGAACAATTTCCAAAACATAAAATAACATTAATAAGTTAGCCAAGAAAAGAACGTCAAAAAAAAAGCAGGCAAATTAAATTACATTTTAAATACTTACATCCTCTCTAGGTAGTTTATTTTCATTGTCTCCTTCAATTCTCACCCGAACCACACCAGATTTGTCCACTATTTCTTGAATAACTTTGCCATTTTTTCCAATTACTTTTCCTTTAATAAGAGAAAACAAATATAGTAAATTAAAAACGAATATTGCTATCATTTCAACATCAGCCCAAATTTAAGACTTGCTATCAAATTATAAAAACCAAGTAAAGCTCCATCTTTTTACTCTCAATTAATTCATCCTAAAGACTACTGAGAAATTTTATCCTTGGTCTGAAATTTCCTTCTCTTTAGTATGCCTAAGGCTGTTATTAACTGAGACTGACGATGCTGCTCACATGTAAGACCATTTTCAAAGTCTAAACGATTTTTACTATGTTCCATGTCATTTTTATATTTTTAAAATATCAAGTCCAACTCATTTCAAAAGCTTGGATATATATATAAAAGCAAAAAAAAAACTTTTAGCAATAATCATAATTGTTTTTATATGTTATTCAAAAGATGAGCAAAATCATCAATCTTGCTTTTATTTTCAAGTTTCTATTTGTTCAAAAGATACCTGTGACTTGAAGATACTTTTAAAATGAATATTCTCTTCACTGAAATAAAATGTTTACATTTAACAAGTATTACATTTACACCAAGAAGTTTTTAAAAGTACTTCACAGCTATACAAATACATGCAGCATGTATATGGTATGTTTACTTTCTGGATATGAAATACTGCAAAATTACACAAAATCCAAATTATTTACCTTCTCCACACTTAACTTCTAAGTCTGTCAAACAAGAGTTATTGAGTATTCAATAATTAAAGGAAAAACTAAAAGGGAGTTATGAAGATTCTCTTCCCCTTAGGAACTTAACTAATTATAAAGATAAAAGTAACATACACTCAATAAAATAACAAAGCAATATTGGGTAGTGTTACCTGGTTAAGAGAAGTAAATATTCAGGTACTGTTCACTAGCAGAATAGATGTATCCCTTATAAAGTTAACACCACCACATTTGTTATGAAGTCCAAATCCTTTTTTTTTTAACTAAATCAGCAATCTATTTCCACAATAAATTTTGGTTGAAAGAGGTATAAAATCCAAGTTTTTCCTACTGCATGCTTGAGAACAGTTTCCATTAAAGAATAAACAATGGAACAATGGCAACAGTAAGCTGGTCAATATAGGATTTTCTATCCCTATTCTCAAACCTCCTCCCCCATTAGTAACCCTAAATTTACAAGCAGCAGCAATTGAACAGGCAAAATTAAAAAACAGAGTAGGACAGGGAAGTCAGATGATGCATATCTTCTCTGAGCAGCCCTAGCAGCAGCATATAAAAGCTGCCTTCACTGTTAACACAGTGAGGTTCAAGCAGCAACTCCATTCTTGACCCTGCTAAAAATAAGCAAATATCTTTTCGAAAAAACAGAACTCAGGTTGATATATCATAATTCCTCCCCCAGAATCTTTGCCCCTTTTTTCTTGTGAACTATACCAGTGGTGAGTGAACATCCATCACCCTTCTAGGGTCCATGGCAGGGACCTACCTGCAAGTTTTATTTAGTCCCACCAGAGACTGTCAATATTTTAACTGATCATTTCCAGAGTTTAAATTCCAAAGCATACTGACAAACTGAAGCAGACCTGTAGCATAAATTGAGCATTGAGCATAAATGCTGAAGGGACAGAGTAGAGAAGTGATTAAGGAAGGCTTCCAGGAGGTGAAAGGTTTCAAGTCATTTTCAAATTAATGTTCACCATTTTTTCTTTTGACTTGGGATGGGTGAGAATGGTCAACTTCTAGAACTCTTGGAACCTGAATGTCTAAGGGAATCCTCTCTGGAACTTACCCACCAAGTAGCCCTCATACCCTTTTCCATTTCAGTCCTCTTTTACTCTTTCATTTGGACTAAGAATGTACTAAGAATGCGTCACCCATAAAACATTTTGAAGGGAAATGTGTTATTTTGGAGGGAAATGTGTTATACACAACCAACTGAAATCTTTACTTCTGAGTATTTCACCAACATGTAAGAGCAGCTGCTAATGTGTATTTCCTAAAGAGTATACCAATAACCCAAATCACCAAAGCCAAACAAGACAGGGTGAGGAAAAAAGGGACATGACAGGTACTCACATCACTGCACAGGCAAATGAATAAAGAGAAGAATCAGACAACTACAAACATATCCAGTTTCCTTATTTCTGAAATACCAGGAATTTTTACTCAAAATTAACAATACCACAAATTCCATAAGACCAAGGCTATCTTCTATAAAACTGAGTTGAAAATAACCGATTCCCCTGTACACACTCACCACCAAATCATTTTTACAAGTGAAGACATCTAAGTTAAATTATGTTCTATAAAGCAGCAACCACAATGTTAGCACTCATAGATGTCAATAACTGAGTGTGATTTCAACAAAAAAGATGATCATTTCAAAACCAGTTTTCTTGTCAAAGGTTATTTCATTTGAAAATGATAAACATTTGAAAATATTTTGTATCTTAATGTTTATTAAAATTACACAAAATTCTTCAAGGTATATTCAATTTTAACAACTCATCTCTCCAGCAGTTCACTCTACAGTAAACAGTCGTCTCCAAGAGCAGATAACGTGGAGCTTACTTAACTGGCAGTATGTCATACCTATCCAAATGTTTGGGCACAAGAGAAAAGCTTTTTATGTAACTAACAGGCAAATACCAAGAAACCATCCAAATTCTTGTGTTGTAGACTATTGTCCCAGAATATACTACTTGTTACTAGCCAAAACAAATGTCTTTTTATAGTGCAAGTATTTGATTTGTTGTTGTTTAAATTTTCTCCTACATATCTATTTTACAGGCTTTGTCAAATAGAATACCTATAGCAAACAAATCACTTCTTAAAGGCAGAACAGGCCTAATAATACACAAAGGGAGCCCAAACGGCTCTATAAATTTCAATAAAGTCAAAAAACTAATGGGACACAATAGATGACAACTCATCCTTCTTAGTAAATGTTACTACTTTATGTTGATGCCTTTAAACTTTTAGGACAATCACTGAGTATTTAACACGTGACCAAAGCTTTCCTATTTGTCTCAAATAGCATTGAAAATTAAGGATAGCACAGATGTAGGGGATATTAATAACAAAGCTATTAAACAACGCATCTCAACCTATAATGTTCATTTAAGTACAGCTTCAAACTCAAAATTTTTTGTCACTTAACTTATAACTCACAAGTAAAATAGTTTTTATTAATGTGTCAAAAACTTAACAGTGAAACCTCCCCTTATCTTATCACCATCCTTCTCTCCTGCCCATGACTTCTTACCTTATTCTATGCCTTTGCAACAACCAATTATTATTTATTCAGGGCCTACTGTGTAGAAGTTTATTACCCTATTGTTAGTCCACTCTTACTTTTTCTTCTGCACTAAATAAAAGAAAAAAATTATCACAAACACCTTCTCAAAAAGTACTATGACAATTCTGATGTATACGAATGATAAAAAGACATTAAGCAATTAAGAAAGAGCCCAAAGGATGAAAAGGCTTAAGAAAAACTGTAATGACTGTTACAAAAATCATGAGTCTTATTAGTGGGTCACCCTGTACAGAAGAAAGAAAACATCTTCACTTTTTAAGAAGACAATAACAAGTCACATACAATGTTACTACTAAAACAATGAAAACAAGCACTGTTATCCAAATACTCCACATAAGTAAAATAAGATATCAGACAACACTAATTTTCAATTAAGTCACTCTATGTAATTAAAATAACATTTAGTAGAAGTACCTACCAACAAGATTTCTAGGAACCTGAATAAAATCCTCCACAAATTCCAAGAAACCTCTAGCCTTTTTTACAGCATCAGCACTCTGTAGAAGAGGGGGAAAATAAACATGAAATAAAACCGTAAAGAAACCCACAACCCAAAACAAAACATGAGAAACGAGAAAAATCTGAATTATGCTCTAGTACAATATTATACTCAACCCACTAGTGACATATAAGGTCAACTAATTCATGAAGTACTAAAAAAAAAAATAAGAGTAATCATTAAAACTCTAGGAAAAAAAGTACTATTAGAACCAAAACATTAGACATTTTTAAGGTCCCTTTTAAGCTCCTGAGAAAATTAGCAGTTTAACTTATTTATGTTTGCCAAATTTTAACCTAATCCTAAATATGTTTGGTCCATACTCCCAGGTTGAATTTCTCCAGGTGAATGCTAAAAACAAATTGCTCATATTGCGTGCATTGTTCTTTCTTTCTCAACATAAATTATTTTGAAAGCTGTTTTTGCAGAGACACATTTTTAAAAATTACTGACAAGATCATTAAAAATTCCTAATTTCTAACGAATTTTAAAAGATGATGGGAGGAGATCCCTCTAAAAAGAATTTACAGTTTTCAGTAACAATTAACTTCCACTTTTAATGTTTGTTCTTTAATAACCATAGATCAAGTGTATTGTGTGCTCATTATATTATATACCATACACAATAAAAATTTTATAACCATATTTAATCCTCGTAAACTTTAAGGCAAGTACTATTATTATTCTCATTTTACAATGAAGAAAATTATGCAGCTAAGTAACTTTCTCCAAGCCCACTCAAAGTGGTAGACACAGAATTCCAATTCAGGTAGTAGGGCTCCAAAGCTTTTCATCTTCATTACTTTTTTATACTGCCCACTTGTAAAGATTTCAGAAATAAAATTCAGGCCTCCTACTCAGATTTACTACACGACTCAAGCTTTTCAAAAGAAGAGCTATTGTATGAAAAGACTTAAAATTATCAACCCCTACTAGAACTCATCCATTTATTCTAATGTGAAGGACGGTCTCAATGAAAAGTCTGAATTACTTATTTATCAGATATATTATTTTCCTGTCCATGCAAATGTCACAATTAACCAATGACAAAATATTATCCAAATTCAAGTTCTAAAAAAAGCTATTCTATTATACTCTATTAACTGCTAGTGCATGACACATACCGAGCACTCAAAAAACTGATTTGTAATGCAGATAAAACTGAGTTGGAACTCAAAAACACCTGGTTAAAGAACTTGTGAAAATAGCGCTTGTTAAATACTCAGTATCTTTCACTGTCCCATATAATACAATTATCATCTTCAATTCACCTGCATATGTGTAATGATTATTAGGCTGACTGATTTTAAAGCGTTTCACTAGTAAACTGAAATTCCAGATAAAGTAAGATCAAACAATAGTTAATATGTTATAGTAAAGTTACCCGAGGTTGGGGACAAACAACAGCTTACCTCTCCATAGATTCTAAATGTTCCCGTATCTTCATCCAGCTCAATAGCTGTAACTCCAGGAACCTTCCTAGCTTGCTGTATGTTACTACCATGTGTTCCTATTGCCAGGCCCATTAAATCTTCTCTCACAACAAATTCCTCATGAAAAGCTGCTGCAAGTTGTTTTGTGCACTAGTAAAAGAGGTAAACTAGAAATTATAAAAGCTCAAAAGCAAAAAATGGGTTTTTGTTCACCCACGTTCATAGCATTATTCACAACAGTCAAGAGGTGGAAGCAACCCAACGTCCACTGAATGATGAATAGATAAACAAAATGTGATATATGCATACAATGTAAAATTATTCAGCCTTAACAAAATCTGACACACGCTACAAGGTGGATAAACATTGAGAACATTACGCTTATTGAAATAAGGCAGTCACAAAAAGACTAATACCATATGATTTCACTTAGATATCTAGAGTAGTCAAATTTATAGAAACAGAAAGTAGAATGGAGGTTGCCTGGCACTGGCAGGAAGAGAAAATGGGAAGTTGTTTAATGGGTTTAGAGTTTCAGTTTTGCAAGATGAAAAAAGTTCTGGAGACTGGGTGACCAACAACGTGAATATACTTAACACTACTGAACTGCATACTTAAAAATGATTAAGACACTAAATTTTATGTTATGTATGTTCTACCACAATTAAAAAACAAAAACAACTAAGGGAAAAAAAGAATAAAGGAAACTCATTTAGGGTCATACAATGAAAGTGGAAAGAAACCATTTGATCAGTCTATTTAATCATAGTCATAGACAATAGTAATTCTAAAACAATTTTTCAGAATTACTGATATAGGCAGTTCTCCAATTCAGATGATTCGTGTTTCAAAACTCATTTGCATATCCCTTGTTCGGAACTTTTAAATTAATAAGGGTATTTGCAAACTTGTCCTAAAGATAAACATACCTCAATATCTCTAAGACAGTGTGTGCTCACATGTGTGCTGCGGGGCGGAAGGGGGTGGGGGCAGGGAACAAGTCATTAATAGTGTGGCAGTGAAGAACACGACAAAACAGGAGTACCTGATGACAGGATAGAGAAGCAACGACAGGCTTTTTTAAAAAACTGTATGCTACGTGCCCTCCTCTCCTCTTACACAAGAGTTGTTATAGTGTGTGGCGACAGTGACAAGTTAGTCCAAAAAAAAGGTTAAGAACAAGAGTAAAGAAGAACTAGCAATATAGTTCTATTGGATATCCCTAGTGAGTATCTAAGCTCTTTGGTACCTGTCATCTAAGTCCTGACAAAAAACTAAACAGGCATTTAGCAAATGAAAGGCTACGTCTGAGAAAAGTAACCGAAAAAAGCACTTCTTCGAAGGACGCAATGACTCCAGGTCCACAAAACAGGTCCTAAATTGACTTACCTTATAGTCAAGCAGTTTGATCCAGGGAATTTGAATGATATACTCACAAAACTAAATGGACACACAAAAAATCTTTTTATGAGTAAACCCACTTACTTCTAAATGCTTAGTGGCCTCTTCATTTCTGGACATAAGCATCAACTTCGTACGAATACTTCGCAAATGCATATCACTTAAAATATTTACTCTCTTCACAGTTGCTTCACTGGCAGACTACAAACAAACAAGTCAATCACTCAAAAACTTAATCATTCTTCAAGACAATACAAACATGACCTTCCATGGAAAGCCTTCTTTGATTCTCTTCTACCATGCCTCCTCTCCTCACTTAACATTCCTCCTTCCACAAGTAGTCTTAGTTTCCTTTCTCAATTCTCATTTTACTTAGAACTGCTAATCAAATTATGATTGAGGGGGGGATAACACATGATCCCACACATTAAGAATTTTACAATGTTAGGACCGGCCCCGTGGCCGAGTGGTTAAGTTCACTCGCTCCGCTTCAGCGGCCCAGGATTTCACTGGCTGGGATCCTGGGTGAGGACACGGCACCGATCATCAGGCCATGCTGAGATGGTGTCCCACATGCCACAGCTAGAAGGACCCACAACTAAAAATACACAACTATGTACCAGAGGGCTTTTCGAAGAAAAAGGGGGAAAAAAAACTTTAAAAAAAAAAAGAATTTTACACTGTTAACAGTGTCACATTAAAATTTTTCCTCCTTACTCCAGAAGAAATTAAAAAATTAATATTTCATAACTGCAAAAAAATTTTTCTCCTAGTGTATTAATAAATTCACTATACTCCAAGTTAGCTTTTATCTTTTGAAATATTTAATTACAAAATCTGTGCAATATCCATTAACAACCTTAAAATATGGAGTTATCTTACCAGTATCATTAACTGTGTGGTTTCTGGATGGTAAAAAATTCTGCATGCTCCTACTGCTTTCTTAAACTCTTTATGTGCATTTTCATTAGCACACCTAGGGAGAAATTAATTCAAGTGTAAGACCTAAATAGATTAAATTTAGATTTCAATTATAATGCAAGCTCAGTATTTCAATTTGATACTACCCATTAAAACTTTTGTTTACTAAAAAGATTTTGTATCAGAAGTTTTTGATGGCGTTTGGGGAAAAAAGATTTTCGTAGCACTGAAAAATCCTCCTAATTCACAAAGCAATTCAGTAGTAAAGAAAATTACTCACGCCTCTCTCAAATCCTCAGGAACATCCACTGTGCATTTAAAGAAGGTATTTTTTTTGACAGTTTTATTTTGATTGACAGGCCGAAGTCGTTCAAATGTGACTATTTCATTGTAAGTGGCATCACAAGCAGCATATTCAATGACATAAAACTAAAAGACATCAAAATACTTTAAAAATCCCATCTGAACAAAAATAATGAGCTTTAAATGAAGTTCTAATTATCTTGCTCCCAGCAGACCCACCCCCTGGTGGCACAAACACTAAGAACAGCTTAGTTATTCAATCTGATTTGCCTAAACTAGATTATAGGTTCTTACAAGCATGACCCTTGGTGGTCCTCACATGCTTGGGGTGTACTTCTGGAGAGTAGCTTTGGTGTGTGAAAATTCAAAGACAAGAAATTAATAGTCTGATCAATTCTTGAAATACGTGATCAACTATTTGTGAAGCAGGGCTTTAGAAACAAAACTAGGAGTTGGAATAACATTTATAGAAACCAAGCGCTGAGGTATTTCCTTGGAAACTAATCACAAAGCAAGTATTAACATCACTTACTTCTCCCTTCATCATTCGAACTTTAGCCAACCACCATCCACAAGGTTCTTGGTCATTTGCTCTTGAATATACCTGAGAAGGAAAAAAACCATCCTTATCCATTCTTCCCAAGATTTCAATATTTTTAAATAATGACTTATAGATGCCAAATCTCATTAAATTCAAGAATCAAAAATGTTATTGTGATGAAATTGGTGTAATAAACATAGTTTAATAAGAGTTATGGACATTTAAATTTTACTACTGAAAAAAACTGAACCCTTTCTGACCAATTTGGCTCCTTGGAAATCCAATTCTGAATTCGTGGTGGTTTACTAAACATAAGTTAAGTATTATTTTAAAGAAATGCTTCTTACGAGGCAGTTTTACGTAGTGTAAAATACATATAAATCCATTTCTGTCAACACTGTTCATCTTTAAGTACTGCACTCTGATGATTCACATATCAGAAGGATAAGCTAGACCTTATTAGAGATGTATTTTAAATCTACTGTCAATATTTATAAGATGATGAAATCAAGAATTGTTTCTCAGAAAGTGATAAACCCAATTTTAAAATTCCTTTATGGGGCCAGCCACACGGCCGAGTGGTTAAGTTCACGCACTCTGCTTCAGTGGCCCAGGGTTTTGCAGGTTCAGATCCTGGGCTCAAGCCATGCTGAGGCGGCATCCCACATACCAGAACCAGAAGGACCTACAACTAGAATACACAACTATGTACTGGGGGGCTTTGGGGAGAAGGAAAATTTTAAAATTTAAAAAATTAAAAACAAAATTCCTTCAAAGATATGACATTTAGATCCCCTGCTGAGGAACCTAAATCAAATATACTAAAAATGTTCAGCTGAACAACAAAAAAATTACACACATTTACTCTATCTAGCAGAGTACTTTATCTTAACAAAACCTATTTAAAAAACTTATCTTACATGCTCTAAACTTGTAATTATCAGGTTATTTTTAATATAATACATTAGAAAAATTTCCATTAGGAATTAAAGATACAGCAGCTTGTTTGTTGTTTTCAATACATGGAAAACCGGGGCGGGGGGGGGCGCCAGAGCCTGGGAAGAGATGACTTAAGAAGTACCCTCACAAAAATCCTGACTATATAATAAAATAAGGTTGGAGAAATCTACCCATACAAATTAACAGCCATCCATGAAATCAATGCAAATGACTACTGATGGGCAAATAGTTTTAGAAAACCTGAAGCTTCTCTCAAAATGATCTGAGAATAATCTTGGAAGTGGTAGAATACTGGAACTGTAAACGAATAAGCAAAAACCTCGTGATCAACTTTACTGTATACATGATTAGAAAAAAGCTATGAGAGGGGCCAGCCCCGTGGCCGAGTGGTTAACTTCGTGCGCTCTCCGCTTTGGCGGCCCAGGATTTTGCCAGTTTGGATCTGGGGTGCTCATTAGGCCATGCTGAGGCGGCACCCCACATGCCGCAACTATAAGGACACACAACTAAAATATACAACTATGTACTGGGAGGATTTGGGGAGAAAAAGGAAGAAGATTGGCAACAGTTGTTAGCTCAGGTGCCAATCTTTAAGGAAAAAAATGAAAGAAAAAACTATGAGGGAGGGGCCTGCCCAGTGGCGCAGCAGTTAAGTGCGCACACTCCCCTTCGGTGGCCCAGGGTTTGCCAGTTCGGATCCTGGGTGCAGACGTGGCACCACTTGGCAAGCCACGCTGAGGCGGCATCCCACATATAAAGGGGAGGAAGATGGGCATGGATATTAGCTCAGGGCCAGTCTTCCTCAGCAAAAAGAGGAGGATTGGCAGCGGATGTTAGCTCAGGGCTAATCTTCCTCAAAAAAAAAAACAAAAACAGAAAAACAAAACTATGAGGGAAAAAAAGGTCTATATACCAACCTGGCTCCAGTGGACTCAATTTTGGCTTTTGCCTTTCCTTCATGCACAAATCTTTCTATTTCATGACTTTTACCCTTTCTTATAGGTCTTCCAAAAAAACAACAAATTTTACTTTTTTCAGTATAGAATAAAAACTCTATTTTGCAATTATTGTATGTATCCAGTGGGCCCTTTTTATAAATCTAATGTAGAATCTAGTGATCTTACTTTCCCTGTATCTTAAAATACTTTGCTATTTCATTATCATTCATCAATTATTCCCAACTATGCTTCAAAAAAAGTCTATAACAGAAGAATGATGGTATCACCTGGAAGGAGATTAACAGTGAAATATATCGTTACTACTGCATCATTCTCTAGTTTCTTTATTACCTAGTCTTTCAAGAAAGTATGAAAAGACTGGAGACACCATTCTTGTAGTCTGCTTCTGGCTATTGTTGAATAGTTAACAATTACGAATTTTTATTTTCCATCAATGATTGCAAAGACAAGAAAATTTAGAGAGGAAGAACTTTCACAATTATTAAAGGAATCAGAATGATGCAAAGAGACAGACAATAGCACTCTAAATTCTAATGATGAATGTGAAATTATAAGCAGAATTTCAGACTATGAAGTCTTCAGATGACATCCTAGACGGATATTTGCCAAGAATATATTTCTCAGGAGAAAAAGGAAATTTAGTATTCACATTCAGTTAAGTCATTCAACTGGAACTTCATCATACAAAATCCTGGGACAAGAATGTGGACCACTGTGTTTTTCTAGAAGGACACATGACAGTATTCTTTCATCTTTTGTATTTGTACACCAAAATGTACTTGATACAATTCATAAGTGGACAAATGCCAAAGGCAGCTGTGTATACAAAGATGACTAGAGAGAGATGATGAAGAAATGCAAAAAATCCAATTGCTTAAATATGAAAGGAGTTCAATTATAGTGCAAAGACAACTATATTCTATTCAATAATATTAGAAGCCACCATAAGTTCCAAAGTATTCTTAAAGTACTACATTCTGATAATTCAAGTATAAGATGAACCAGAAGAAATGATAAACCAGATCTTACTAGAGACGTATTTTAAATATGATTATCAGTATTTTTAAGATAGACATGTTCTGGTTTATGCATGATACCTGATGATTAGTAATATTTAAAGAACTCTACTCATTTTAGGCATATGTATTGTCAAAACCAGGAAAATACGGAATAAAAATTTGGATTTGCTATGTTTAAATGCTTATTAAAATATCTAATAATGTTGACTGTCACCATCCTTTTATTTTTACCTGTATAAAATTTTATGTAAAATTACTTAAAAATACAAAAAAACAAACAATAAAAATGGCCCACTGAACCCAAACGATGAATGATGATGACTATTTTCCCTAGTATACTGAGGATTAAAAAAACAGAAAGAAAACCTTAAGAAGGAAAAGTGCCCACTCCAAGCACTCTCTCAGAAAGGCAGTTCAAGCTAAGCAGGCTGGAGTATCTCTTAGTGATCCATAGTGGATGGGTCCTTCAAGCTTGAATGCTGAAAAAACTACCTAAATCCCTTCGTTCTAATCCTATGTTCACCAAGGCATTACCCTTCTAGGATTCTGGCTTCCTGTTTAAGCTTACGTACAAAAGAGAGAATAAACCATTTTGTACTGCCTTGAGGCTTTGTCATTCAACATTAACATGCTGGATTCCATTTTAAACTTACATCTAGCTCTGTAGCTTAATAACTTTACCCCTGAAAGATAAAGCCAACTAATCTAAGTTCCTGAGCCTGAATCAAAACACTATGAATTTGGCTCCACTTGAGTGCTATGGGTCAAATCAAATCACATCCCTTACAAAATGAATGGTGTCTTCACACAATGAAAAATCACTTTAATAACCCAGCATTAAAACTGTGCCCTAGTGTACTACATCTCCAATGTTGATTACTGAATTTATTTATGACTATGGCATTGCAGTAAGAGCACTTCACAGAAATTCCTGTTCCTCAGATTCCACTTAAATCTCCAAACTTTTCCCAAGGGAGCAATTCACACTCTAAAGCAAGGGCCCTCATTGTTCTAACATTCTAAGTTTCTCTAAGAGCTTAAAAAAAAGCAGGAAGGGGCCAACCGGGTGGCATAGTGGTTAAGCTCACACTCCACTTCGGTGGCCCTGGGTTCACCAGTTCGGGTCCTGGCCACAGACCTACATGTCACTCATCAAGCCATGCTGTGGCAACATCCCACATACAAAGTAGAGGAAAACTGGCACAGTTTTAGCTCAGGGACGATCTTCACACACACAAAAAAGGCAGGAAGTCTCCACCCACTAAGGAGTGCCCATGAGAGACCTAAAAACACAATAGTACTCAAACTGAAGAAGGCTACGGTTTTACGGAGTAGAGGATGGAATATGAAGAATCAAATTCCAAAGGCCTATTTCAGGATTCTTTCTACCAAAAGACTCCAAGTCAAACCTTATTACAAAATGATCTCCAAATCCTAGCACACAACCAAATTGTGACTTAAATAGAATTCCAGTCTGGCTCCTCAAATGTTATCAACTTTTCATTCAAGTTGATAATGTTCAGGCCGCAGCACTGCTGCCCAGTCGGCGTGGGTCCTCGCAACTGTCTCCGCGGTGCAAGCCTTGAGCCTTGCTCTTCCCCTGGCGGAGGCGGCGGCAGGAGGGAGCAGGCGAGCAGCCGGCGGACTCCATGGAGAGCGGCGGACACCCCGGCAGAGGCGGCGCTTGCTCCCCGGCTCCTGGGCTCCAGTGACCCACGCTGGCGCCTTGCCTTGCCCTGCCCCGCGCCGGAGCGGCTGCCGGCTCCGGGACTGACCGGCCTCACTGCTCGTCCCGCGCCGCCGCCTCGCCTCCCCGCGCCCCGACTTGCCCTCGCCCGCTATCTGTGGCGGGGCGGCGGCAGCCGGAGCAGCAGCGGCAGCAAGGGCCCGCCTCTATGATGAAGTTCAAGCCCAACCAGACGCGGACCTACGACCACGAGGGCTTCAAGAAGCGGGCAGTGTGCCTGTGCTTCCGGAGCGAGCAAGAGGACGAGGTGCTGTTGGTGAGAAGCAGTCCGTACCCAGACCAATGGATTGTCCCAGGAGGAGGCGGGGAGCCCGATGAGGAGCCTGGCGGTGCTGCGGTGAGGGAGGTTTATGAAGACGCTGGGTCAAAGGAAAATTA